AGCCCATCATCCAGCAATGAATTGACTTTGGGGCAGTACATTCAATTATGATCTTAAGCTGTACGGAAGATGGTTGGGTGCTCGTTGTTGAAGCCTGCGGCGATGCAAACTGCAGGATTGCTTGCACAGCCACGATAAAAAAAAACCCAAACACGTAAGATTGATCTCGCAACGTTTGCAATGAACTTATTTTTAAGACGCGAAATTAGACGCGGACATCAAACTGCCATGCGTGTAAAATGGTCATCAAGAGGCGTCGGCGCGAAATGATTAGCGAGAGAGCGAACAAAGTTCAAGCTCCGATCTTCTTTTTGGTCTCAACGGTGGCTCGAGTCTTCCTCCTGCCTCCTCCTTCCATCGGGGCATTTCAGCTGAAGCGACAACAGCCCCGCCACGTGTGTGTAGCCGTACAGTGCTGCCCGTATCGTCACCATCATCACTCTCAAGTGAGTCACTGACCGCGTGTGTTTATAGCTCACGGTGGGAGGTGGGAGGGGGCGAGCCACGCTGGGCATGAGCGCCGAGGTGGCTAGGAGATGATAACGCCCTCGCCTGGTACACAGGAGGTTGTGGGTTCTATCACGACTGACGCCTGCTGCTGCTGTATATTTGGAGTTTGCGTGTCTCTCTTCCCGTGGTCGCGTGGATTTTTTTTTCTCTGGACCCTTCGGGGTTTTCTCCACATTTAGAAACGTGCGTTTAGAGTATTTGGCTGCTATAAATTCCCACACGATAAGCCACTTCGTTGAGCTATCATTTGTGGCCAGGTCACTTCTGAAAAAGAGCTGTACATACAGCTCAGTGGTTCTCACGGGGTGAAACAAAAAAAACAGTTTATAGTTTGTCATCACTGGACGAGTGAACTTGACGGGAAAGACAGCAGGTCTCCGCATGCCCCGAAGCCTCTATACTATCTACTGAAATCTCGGCCACGGACGCCTAAGACACGCTCCGATTACATTATCAGAGGACGGGAGGAGAAACGCGAGCTATCGAGGGTGCAGGCGGTGCAACTGCACCAGGGACCCACGTTAATGGGGCCCTGGGTCCGAGTTACATTGGGATGGGGAGATGCATGAGACATTCGTCCCATTCCCTGTGTTGCATTCAGGGCCTATGCGGACCGCGCGCCACGCGAACTGGCCAGGATGGTGCTTGGATCAGCTGACCCCCATGCCCGCCAGGGTCGTCAGGTCGGGTGCGACTCTGCTCCCGTGGTGGACAGGAGAGAGCACTGCGCTTGTGCGTCTCTGCTGCTCCACCTTCACCCACGCACAACGACGACGCGGTGATGGTCAAATAACTCGCACCACCCACGCGGCTGTGGGATATTCATCCGGCAGTGAATTAAGACGCACAGGAAATTGAATAGTTAGCACCTGTGCAATATGGATGTAACCGTATCCCTATACCATAAAAAACATTACAGGTTAAGCCCGTAATTGTTGCAAAGCGTAGCCAGTCCATTAGTTCGCTTATTTCACTCTTGCCTGAGTGAGCAAGGTTCATCAATCTGCCTTCCCTGTTTGGTTGAGGACGAGGCGTCATCCTGCCTGGGTTTGACCGGGAAAGTCCAGGAATTGGCACGTGTGTTCATGAGGTGGGAATTGATTTGTACCGATATCTGGTGGTATTGTGTTGAACTTGATTACAGTACACAGTACTGTATTGCAGCGTTGATAACAGACCTAGGCCGACTTCCAAATGTCCGGGTTTGGTCTGCAGTGGAAACAATGGCAACACCACTCACCGCTTTAGTTCATGGGGAGGCCTGGCCTCATGGACTAGAAAAATCACGTGGACCAAAAAGAACTACACTACATCACAACACGGATTCAGGCGCAAATAGATTTATACCCCCCTCCGCTCCCCAAATAATTACACAATCCCTACGTAAAAGTAACTTTGCATTAATAGGGAGGTTATCGTCGGGAACAGCTCCCACAACGAAATGGCGGTGCAAGCGAAGTTGCCAAATAACTTCTGTGGAAACGGATTTTCTTTTTTCAAATTGCATTGTTTGTGAGAGCAAATACATTGTCAGACATGTTTAGATGTATATTTAAAGAAGCTGGTATGCAAGGTTCAACCACTGCTAGGCTGTGTACTCAATCTCAAAAAAGAAACCTCCTGGCATGGACGATGCTTTGTCACGTGCTTTTGTCGGTGTGTCAGCATACGGGGAATGCACATTGCAATGGCCATTCAAAAACTTACCACTTTACCCGTTGGTATAAAAATCCAAAAGACTTCACCTTTTCACAAATATTTAAATTATCGTCGTTTTTTTTTCTTCTTGCAGCCTGCCGGTTTGCGCCCGAATACATCGACAAAAGCAACGTTCAACAGTTTCACTCGAACATGAAAACATCCCCTGGCGAAAAACCAGAGGGCGACAAAAAAAACAAGGAGCAGTCTCTGGTACGGTGAAGCATGGGGCATTCCGTGTTTGGCCTTAGGAAATAATAACTCGATGGCCAGAATTAGAGGTCTGGGACTGTTTTTGCTGCCTTGCCTAAGCTTATGCAATCTAAATACTTGATTTTATTTATTATCTGCCTACCTTTCCTACGCTTTGCACTCATATCGTCTTTTGTATTGTCGTGACTTTGATCCGCCCCCCACTGGATATCTGTGAACAGAGCTTCATAGCTCATTGGATTTCTCCAAGATGCGAAACGCGACAGCTTGCAATTCAAAGCGTGGAAAAGAGCCTCCTGCAGCACCAACCGTGGAGTGTGCTTCGGGTGAAAGCTTGTGGTGTTATCAAGTTATCCAGTCGTGGATAACGATAAAGTTATAGGAACCTCTGGATTATGACGTTCATAATTAAGATTTGAGAACCAGATAGCAACTCAAGGCACGCGCAAACACACATGACGAAATCAGCACAATGCACTGTAATGAGCGAACCATCTTAAATTTACTGACAACCAATTATGAACAGAATGAAGCATTGACTATATTTCAAGTGTTGTGAAAAGCAATCAATATGCTTGTAAAAAAGTACTGATTGATCCAGTAGTACTTTAAAGTCTTCAGGAAGATCCTGGACAGGGTTGTAAATGTCTGCAAACAATTTGGATACCATGTTACAGTAAAAGAAAAAAGTATTTGATCCCCTGCTGATTTTGTACGTTTGCCCACTGACAAAAATGATCAGTCTATAATTTTAATGGAAGGTTTATTTGAACAGTGAGAGACAGAATAACAACAAAATCCAGAAAAACGCATGTCAAAAATGTTATAAATTTATTTGCATTTCAATGAGGGAAATAAGTATTTGACCCCCTCTCAATCAGAAAAAATGTCTGGCTCCCAGGTGTCTTTTATACAGGTAACGAGCTGAGATTAGCACTCTTAAAGGGAGTGCTCCTAATCTCAGCTTGTTACCTGTATAAAAGACACCTGTCCACAGAAGCAAACAATCAATCAGATTCCAAACTCTCCACCATGGCCAAAACCAAAGAGCTCTCCAAGGATGTCAGGGACAAGATTGTAGACCTACACAAAGCTGGAATGGGCTACAAGACCATTGCCAAGCAGCTTGGTGAGGCGACAACAGTTGGTGCGATTATTCGCAAATGGAACACAAAAGAACTGTCAATCTCCCTCGGCCTGGGGCTCCATGCAAGATCTCACCTCGTGGAGTTGCAATGATCATGAAAACGGTGAGGAATCAGCCCAGAACTACACGGGAGGATCTTGTCAATGATATCAAGGCAGCTGGGACCATAGTCACCAATAAAACAATTGGTAACACACTACGCCGCGAAGGACTGAAATCCTGCAGTGCCCGCAAGGTCCCCCTGTCAAGAAAGCACATATACATGCCCGTCTGAAGTTTGCCAATGAACATCTGAATGATTCAGAGGACAACTGGGTGAAAGTGTTGTGGTCAGATGAGACCAAAATGGAGCTCTTTGGCATTAACTCAACTCGCCGTGCTTGGAGGAGGAATGCTGCCTATGACCCCAAGAACACCATCCCCACCGTCAAATATGGAGGTGGAAACGTGCTTTGGGGGTGTTTTTCTGCTAAGGGGACAGGACAACTTCACCGCATCAAAGGGACGATGGACGGGGCCATGTACCATCAAATCTTGGGTGAGAACCTCCTTCCCTCAGCCAGGGCATTGAAAATGGGTCGTGGATGGGTATTCCAGCATGACAATGACCCAAAACACACGGCCAAGGCAAAGGAGTGGCTCAAGAAGAAGCACATTAAGGTCCTGGAGTGGCCTAGCCAGTCACCAGACCTTAATCCCATAGAAAATCTGTGGAGAGAGCTGAAGGTTCGAGTTGCCAAACGTCAGCCTCGAAACCTTAATGACTTGGAGAGATATGCAAAGAGGAGTGGGACAAAATCCCTCCTGAGATGTGTGAAAACCTGGTGGCCAACTACAAGAAACGTCTGACCTCTGTGATTGCCAACAAGGGTTTTGCCACCAAGTACTAAGTCATGTTTTGCAGAGGGGTCAAATACTTATTTCCCTCATTAAAATGCCAATCAATTTATAACATTTTTGACATGCGTTTTTCTGGATTTTGTTGTTATTCTGTCTCTCACTGTTCAAATAAACCTACCATTAAAATTATAGACTGATCATTTCTTTGTCAGTGGGCAAACGTACAAAATCAGCAGGGGATCAAATACTTTTTTCCCTCACTTTAACTACTTCGCCTTGTATACAGGAGGTTGTGGGTTTGATCCGACCCTAACAATGCCTGCTCTATATTTGGAGCTTGCGCGTCTCCACTGGGAGTCGCGTGGATTTTTCTCCTGGTCCTCCGGTTTTCCCCTCATTTAGAAACGTGCATTCAGAGTTATTTGGCTGCTATATATTTTCACACAAGCCACTTCATTGGGCTATTTGTGGCCAGGTCGCTTCTGAAAAACTGTGCTTTAGCTCAGTGGGCCTTTATTGGTAAAATATTAAAAAAATAGCTTAACAGTTAGATTTGATATATACAGTATATATAAAAAAAGAATGCGGGTGAGATATTGCAAGGTTTTTTTTACTTCCAAGACAACATGTGGAAATTTGTGGCATTTTACAGGGTTTTAATGCAGGACTTTATTACACAAGTTTTCAAAGTTTTCAATGTTTATTCTTAATTCAACTTTTTGAAAGGGATAAAAGTTCCTTATCAAATTCTGAAATATAGGGATATCTTATGGTACGTTAGTAGTATCAACTTAAAAGTAATGCATGATTATTAAAATTATATATGCTTTACAACATAAATACCAACATTTAAACTATTACAACAAAACATTGAACCTACACAGCTGTAAACACATTCCTACAATTTGTTTTGATAAATTGTATGCATACAAATAACTTAACTTGATTACAGCCTACTGTTGAAACTCAGTCGAAATGGAAAGGTGTAAAAAAAATTAAGCATCGCAAATTAACTTAACCTTATTCTATGGGTCTTTCAGTAAAGCCACGTAGATAGAAAAATAATACAAATATCACGAGCGCAACATGTCTTCAAGACGATTGCTTGTGATGCGATCGAAACGTCGTGATTTGTATTTTTCTATCTACGTGGCTTTACCGAAAAACCCATATAATATGTATTCCTGCAGTCACGAATGCTTTAAGTCAAGATTTAACTTAACCGAATTCATAAATACCTCAAGAATGAAAATAATGTGCAGAAATATGCTTAAACACGTTCCACCAAGGTAGATGAGACGGCGAGAGTCAGGGTGGGAGAGACCATATAGGAAGTGTAACGGCTCGGGTGAAGCAATTCGAGTCTGGTACTGGGCTGGCAGCTGTGCAAGCCACCCGTGTGGAGTGGGGGTGAACGCAGCTGTTCAGTGCAGCTATGGACCGGTGGACATTGACATCGAGGTCCAGCACCGGCTGTAGCCCTAAAGAGAAATCAATGGCAGGATATCACTATAATCAAGGGCAGCTCACCATCTACAATCGGGGAGTGGGTGGGGAGGTCACAAGGGCTAAAATTGACAACTACATTTTGCCCTCGGAAACAATGAAGTGCCGCTCGCTTGTATGCATCTTTAAAACATTTTTTCTCATTATGCATATGGTCTGCAGCCAATCGAGCTGTCGTGGGAACCTGTCGTATGAAAATAATGACTTGGCGCAGCCGTGTGAGGAGAGGGCGAGTGACGCCGCTCCGTCGTACCGAGTGGCAAAAGTGCAACCTTGGAGAGGGCATTTTTTTAAACTTTCCTCCCTCCCGCGCACCGTTCCCGTCGCCGCGACCCCATCGTGTGTCGTTTGGCGGTGGAGCCGATGCCAAAAACAGCAATGGTGTACCAAGCAACTGTGCAGCAACGGCAACCTTCCGCCTTGGGCTTCGCAACACATGCGCACGCGAGCCAAAGGACAGCTGCAAAAACGAAGTTTATACGCAAATGCTACCCCCCCCCCCCCCTGCCACCTGCCCACAGCCCCCACTCGAGTTCACATGCTGGAAGAAGCCCACACTCTCTTATGGCATTATCTACTTGTCAAAACATTATTTAATCTGGGGAGAGCGAGGAAAAAAAATGCATTTGCACAACAGGAAATGAATTAAAAGAGCCATTTCGAAGATGCTGCACAGGTTTAGCCAACGTTGGCTTTTTGCAGCTCGTCGATGGCTCTCCCAAGCGGCCGCGAGTTTTCAGTTTGTTTTCAGTGCCGCAGTGCCAAGCTCATTGGCCAGGTTTCACCGGGAACATGTGCAACAGACACCACGATTAGTTGCGCGAAGCACACGCAAGCAGGTAAAAGCATCACATACAAGCACACACCTGGGATTTTAAATGAACTCTTAACATGAGCCCCACCTCCTGTGGGTTTGAACTGTTTTGTTCTATATTTTTAATGAATGCACATTAGTGCTGCAATGTAAAAAAAATGTAACAAAATTATTGTTACGAGTGCTTCACTTTGCATTGTAGAGACACACTAAAAGCATGTTATGTTATGGCTTCTGACGGTGCGAAATACTTGGACTACCAATTGAACGGCTTTTGGACTTGACAAGGAGCGTGATTTAAAACAGTAGCAAGGCCCTGATCCCTCGACTACCAACAATGACGAGGAACAATGCAGCCACGTGGACATCTCCAATAGATTACACTAAGGCCATAAAAAACATAAGTCTAGGTCCTGAGGCACTGGTGATTTTCATATCTTTATATGTATATAGTATGCCAAGAAGTCACAAGGGAAATTTGTATATATTTAATCATTTAAATTTTCCCACGTTGGGATGGTGTGTTAATCATTTTAAAATTATATCTTACATTTTTATATATTTTAAAACATGGCTCAAAAGGTGCGTTTTATTTTAATTGACAATAAAAAATATTGATATTCATCATGGGACCTCCTTTCCCAGTACCAAAATATGATAATAGGGTTTTCCCCCTTTTTTCTGGCAAAACAGGTCTTAAGATGTTAAAACACAAAACCTTGTGGACCAATCAATTTAAAGGACAATGCATATACTATCAGTGTTTTTTGTTTGCATTCTGACCACAAGCATTATGGTTAATGCAGACATGATTCCTTGGAAAAGGTTTCCGTTTGGTGTTTTTACATTTTAACACCTGTTTTGTTGCCAGAAGGGGAAAAACCTATCATTGATATTCATCTCCCTTTCACCTATAATTTGTTCCAGTTTATAGAAAAATGTGCTCCATGATTTCTTAGAACCAAAAATGTAAGTATATTTTTTATGGCCCTAATCTGGCTGTGTGTGTGAACCACTTACAAAGTTGCTATTAGGGTTGGCAAGAACAGTAAAGCACAGACAAGCAAACGCCTCTCACGTTTGCTCAGCTTTCGTATGTCCGAAATAAGTTTTAAATAATTGCAAAATACATCCACTAATATAGGCACAGCCTACACACAAATAAGATTGCTTTCAAGTTAAACCTAGCGTCACTTAACTTAAGCGTTAAGTGCAAGAGACAGTGTGATTGATATAATGGGGACTTAATATTGTCCTTATAGGTAAAGCAAAACAAAGCTACAAACCAGGCAATGTTTTGGCCGACAGCTCTGCGTAAAGTCAATGAAAAACTTACGATTTAAATCGGTCGCGCAAAAAACATCGCTACCCTACTTGGGGATGGCTACAGAGTCTGCAGGAAAAAAGGCACATAATATCTCCATTACAACAGTCGATACGTTATTTAACGTATTCAGTTTTTGCATTAACCTGATTGTTAATGACCTATCAAAGTAGGGTGTAAAACTTACTTCAATGCTATTTTTAAACGTTAACAGAATGGTACACTACATTATCGAACCAAATGTAAAATGAAGCCCTCCCCACGAAATTGTTTATCCAGAAGATAGGAAGCTATTACGCTCAGTGTTGTTATAAAGGGGCTAACTAGGGTCTGCAAAGCAGCAGAGTAATATGTTTCACAGTAGAAAGCGCATGTTCCAGTTTGTAAAATAAGGTAACAAACCGGAGCCAGGCAATGGAACTTTAAGCACAGAAATCATCGCTCCATTAAGTAGGCTGAGTGAAACGTTACCACTTGCGCTCATGGGGTTTTGCCGAGTACACTAACATTACTGAGCGCTTGTAATAAAATCGTAAATATCCCCTCGTGCTTAGCCCGTCACAATAGCCAGTAAACCGTTGCGGCAAGAACGCAATGTAATTGTCGCCATTGCGAGCGAATATCAGTCTGTCTCCCTGCCCTGACGAGCAATGCGGTGGTGTGCACTGGCGGCCCTGAGCAAGGGATGGAAATTCTACATTACCATGGCAGAGGCCAGTCTGAAGCATGATTACAGTCTAGGGATATTCATTTCATCCTCACAATGACAAGATCCTACAATCGCTTAGGACCAGCTTTTGCTTTGCAATCGATCCGTAGACATCTTCGGTGAAGTCCTGCTCATGCGCTGCTATCAATCGTGGCTGGATAAGAGCGTGCGGTGGGGGGGGGTGCGTATCAAACGAGTGTGCACTGTCCCCCAGAAGGGATGTTCAGCCGCAGAAGGTACGTTCATCCATTTGATGCAGTCACTCAATCAAGACTTGGTCTGAGAATTCGCCGATTCTTTCCCTTAACGTTTCTCAGCAAAGAGGGCGTTGAGACTTTGTGAATGAGATAAAGGATATGGGACTTGATTTTCCAAAAAATATTATTGGAAATGTCCGTCGCCTCGGCTGCTTTCTAGACTATTTTGCTGCAATACATTTTTCTATGATCGAAAAACCTTTATATCAATGTCCAATAAATTCAACTATTACCGGCTGAGATTGCGTCTTTTATTCATGTGTTAATATTTATATACTAGGGCCAGGGCTTTTTTAATGCAAGGTGCGGATAATTAATGGTTGAGTTCCAACAACATTGTTGCATTATGACTGTCCATAGTTAGCCACTCCCAGTCCACACCATTGTTAGTCATTACCATTTCACACAAATATAACATCTCTTATTGCCACATGTGCAAAAAATAAGCAAAATATTCTGTTGAATACAAAACATCCCTAATTATAGCTACACTTGCAAACCCCTATGGCAGAAGCACGAAGTTTCAGCCTTCTAAAACCTGTCATGGACCAATTCCTTCGTTTTTTCAGGAAGTGAGCGCATACATGAAAAAATAAAGTAATCTGCTACGGTGTTAACGGCGCTTCTACAACCACAATGTGACGGCCGAAATTCCCACTCGCTCCGAAGACAAGATTTAGAGGGATGGGGGGAAAAAAAAAGAATCCATGAAAGAAATGGTGTAGGCTATATGATAACAAAAAAATTACTTTAAAAAAACACCCCTGCTAAGACATCTGGGCGCATCAGAGCCATTGGGGTTCGTGTGCAAAGCGTGGCCGAGCACATCGATTTGTAAAAACTCACAATCCCGACTCTTAAAAGTTACCGCAGCTGCGGGGTTGTCGCGCTCCGTGCATGCATGTGCACAGGTTCATTCCCGCATTCTATCGCGGGGAGATAAGCGCAATAGCGGCGACGCCACTGAAGTGTCTTTACCTCCTGCATCCAACCGTCGTTGATTAAACCGTTCTCACTCCCCCCTCTTCGTGACCGGATGATCTTAAGAGGGATTGGTTCGGGGGGAGGGGGGTGCATGGATCAAAAGTGCCGCTGCACTTTTATTTAATTTTCGGTGAGAAAAGAAAAAAAAAATCCTCGCTGATATATCACCCCCTGGACACATCCCATAAAACCTGGCAAGTGTCCAAGGGCTACCAATTCATTATGGAACTCCGGTTGAGGGTCATGAAGTAGACCTGGCTGGTCCCGCCAGATCGCACCGACGCGAAGAACACCTGCAGGACGAGAAGATGCCGCACATCAACATTCCCTTGCACACCAACACATTCCCTTGCACACCAACACATTCCCTTGCACACCAACACATTCCCTTGCACACCAACACATTCCCTTGCACACCAACACATTCCCTTGCACACCAACACATTCCCTTGCACACCAACACATTCCCTTGCACCCCAACACATTCCCTTGCACCCCAACACATTCCCTTGCACATCAACACATTCCCTTGCACATCAACACATTCCCAAGCACACCAACACATTCCCTTGCACACCAACACATTCCCTTGCACACCAACACATTCCCTTGCACACTAACAAAGATCCCTCCAATAGCCTTAGAGGCTGTTCAGCAAGTGATGCTAGCGCGCACCTCTTAAGGCCGGTTACAGCACACCAAGGGGTGGTATGGCCAGCACCACGCTCGGTCACCTTTGTCTCCCCAGTGCTGATGTTCACACACCATACGAGGACCACATTTAAAGCATAGTTGTGACTTGGAGAAGGTCCAGTAGCAATTCAGATATTCGTCACCAATGTTGGCCGTCAGCGGGAATCGAAGTTGGGTTTCTGGGTTAATAGTGCAAGGTGATAACCTCTGCATTATCGTTCCCCACACACACACACAAACACAAAGACCCCCCCCGTCCCGTATAACCTTAACATACTGTACGAGCAAGTACTGTTTTGCGAGCAACTATGAAGGCCGGCACGGCACATGGGGTGGTGGGTGGCCAGCACCACGCCTTAACGGCGATGTTTACACACTGCACCAGGAACTTATTTGAAGCGAAGTCGACCTAGGAGAGGCCCAGGAGCAGTAAAGAAAATTGTCACTGGTGCTGGCTGTGAGCAGGAATCGAAATTGGGTCGCTGGGTTCATAGCGCAACGCGCCAACCTTACACTACCGCTCCCCACACACACACAGATACACCAACACGTAACACACACAAGACGAACAACCTCTGAAAACCTTACGCACTGCAGGGGAAAGTGTTAGTGAGCACCTATGAAGGCCGGCAGGCAAATTAAAGGGGTGCAGTGGCCAGAACCACACTCAGTCACCTTTGTTTCCCACGTGCTTATATTCACACACCACACAAACAGGAACTCAATTTATGGCCAAGTCAACCTAACAGATAACCAGGGCAGTTTCAGATAAATCGCCCCCGATGTTGGCTACGGCAGGGAGTGGAGTAGAATCGGCAAGCGTTTCCTACAAAAAGGCATAACGCCTACACGGGATCGTGGGATTACAAGGTCAATCGTGAGCTTCTGTAAGCACGTAGCTGCACAAGGTCAAACGGCTTACGACAGCTGGGATCGCGGCCAGGTTTTTTTGACGCGGCAGCAAGGTGACAATTGTTTGGATCGTTCGACTTGTGCACGCCATCGCGATGCTGCGGCGCGAGCTCCCCATGGCATGGGGGGGTAGCGGGGGGCGGTGGTTGGGCGTGGGGGAACTGCCCGCGAGATCGGACGACGAACCTTGTCGTTCCTCTCGCACAGGAACTTGAGTCTCTGCGCACGCTTGTGCATGAAGACGCCGTCGAGGTGGCCCGTCTCCACCGCGCGGATCTCGATGGCCTTCTCGCCCCAGCCCATGATCTGGTTCGACCGAATGTAGGCTACGGGGGAGGGGTCGTGGGGGGGAGAAGAGGGGCAAAAAGTTTTTAAATGCTCAACAAACAAACGACAGCAACTTTCACTTACGATGCGATAAATCTTGCCGCACGACTGGACGAGTACGTGAGTAAGGTACGGGCAAGACTTTGGGAGGGTGCAAAGCAGACGTCGTGCTAATTAATTTCATTTATGTGGATTTCCACATAACTTTAAGATCCTTCAACGAATTTCATTTACTCTCATTTATTTTGGCGCATTAAACGTGCGCAATATGCTGTCCACAGCCCTTTTGTTAATCCCCTGCTGGGCGAGGGCCACCACATGCCCGTGCGGGTCGTGGGGGTTATTTGACCATAGCTGTTATGTACACATCACACGTATGCAGAGTCCGATATCCACGAACAAAGACAAAGAGCCGCTGTATAGTCCTAACAGACTGATGGTGCAAGTGCTGTTAGCGAGCACCGACGAGAGCTGCCATAACACGAGAGGAGTGGGTGGCGAACACCACACCTGGCACCGCTTTGTATCCCCAGTGCTGATGTATACACACCGCACCAGGCTTAGTCGACCTTGGGAAGGCCTAGGACCGGTTCACAATCATCACCGGCGTTGGCCATGAGCGGGAATCGAACTCGGGCCGCCGGGTTCGTAGGGCAGCACACCAACTGCTACACCACAGCTTCACACAATCATTACCACCATCACATACATAATCTCCACCATCACGCCCATCAAATCCACTTCATCACCTCATCACTTCCTGTGGCATACAACAAGACAAAGATCCGCCCCGTAACCTTAACAGACTCTTTGAGCTAGCGCTGTTAGCGGGTAGCATCTATGAAGGCCGGAACAGCACAAGAGGTGATGAGTGGCCAAGCACCACACCCCAGCTGCCTTTGTCTCCCTAGAGGCAATGTTGACACACTGCACCAGGTACTCATTTGAGACCTAGTCAAACACACACACACGCACCGACGGAGGTGGGCATCTCTCCCCACTGCAGCACCACGTCCTTGGTGATGCGCCCGTAGGTGTTCACGTAGACGCCCTCGTCCTCGTAGCACAGCAGCAGCTCCATGCCGTCAGTGTTGGGCAGCACGATGACGGAGTACGGAATCACGTTCCCCTGGATCTGCACGCGCAAAGGGACACAGGTCCCCTGTGTAGCCGACGCAGACTGTCGAGGCAAGCGCTGTCAGCGAGTACCTACGAAGGCTGGCACGACACGCAGGCGAAGATGGTGTGGCCGAAACCTCGCCCGGCCACCTTTGTCTCTCTGCAGCAATGATAATTATCCACTACACCAGGTACTCATTTATGCCGAGTTGACCTAGTGGACGACCAGGTCCTGTTCAGATACTTGTCACGGATGTTGGCAATGGCTGGGAATCAAACTCAGGTCGCTGGGTTTGAAGCAACGTCCACTAACCACTGCGCCACAGAAGATCCACGCACCGTGGCGTGGTATTGGCTGGCCCACGAACCTCAAGACTTACGCGAATGCTCGGAGAAAAACTTGGGAGGGCTTTTTCCCCTCTAAGAGGCTACCACGTCGCCTGTTGTTATTGAATGCGACACTGCCACTCTCACTAACGCGACGCCACGTTCTCAAGTTCCTACCGGACCCTCCGGACGTGCGGGGGGGGGGTAGAGCCAGGAGATTCCCTAATGCAGCTCACGATTTAAACAAAAAAAATTGCACGCAACCCCTGCAGTCGTAAGGGAAACCAGCGCAGCCGAACCACCCCGAGACACAAACTACCACCGGCGTCGTCCAGGGGAGAGGAAACGTACGTGCGTGGGGAGGTAGACGTTGTAGAAGTTTCCCGTGTCGACGTCGATGGCGTGGAAGCCGGCGTTGGAGCCATAGATCACCTTGAGCCGCTGCGACTCCTCGACGGTGAGGTCCACCAGCTGCGGCTTGTGTGCCAGATCGCAGAACGACTGTGTGCACACCCGCGTCGCACATCCAGCAGCGGAGTTAGGCGTGTAACATTTGCCGAATAGCCACTCACCTATTCCCTGCGATTCGATGAATTGCAGCGATCCGGAGTCACGATTATGCTTGCCTCCCGTGTGCAACGTATTCTTTGTATTTGTTCTGTACCATCCACATTTGTTCTGGCTTGTTAATTCCATTAGCCTCTTGCTTGAGTTGTTTATTACATCTCCTGTATTGCATTTTGTATTGTATATTGCCTGTCTCATACACATATGAGTCTCGATTTTTTTGTCCATATAATTTCTATATCTGGAAGCTACATAATGTTCATCTCCTTTGTATCAACGATCTAAAGCGGAATGGGAAGGTAGTTTAGAAATTTGTTAAACAACATATAAACAGGGTAAAAATGTTTGGTTACATTTATATGTATGTTACAAGGTTGTACACAGCTAACAACACCATAAGTCTTTATAGTCCCTTCTAGTCAGAAAGAGCCCTTGCCCGACACGACGGAAATAAATTAAATGCCGTTGTTACTGAGAGACCCGCCGACGGACAAATTAAGTTTCTTATTGAAAGTGGATGTGACTGCATTGGGCGCTACCACGGTATGTATGAATGCTAAACTTATTTCGCACCGTACGTAGCCAACTGTGCTAATTGGAGGTGTGGGGGAAAGACGATGGACACAGAAAAACAGTTCTAAAGATATACGAGTTTTCGATTTAGATTTAAAAGTGCATATCTCCAGTGGCTTCCGAACATCGGAAGTGTTCCAGAAGGCCGTAGAAGTGCATCTGAAAGCGCGTATTTGCCGTGACAGTCATTGTTCGATGGCCAGCCAAAAGCCGCTGCTGCGAGGATGACCGGAGTTCAAGTGACGGTTTTTATGCTCCTTGACGAGATCAGCGAGGTACTGTGGTTCGTTCGTGACGAGCACTTTGCGTGTAACGAGTGCGACCTCAATAACAGTGCACAGAGCGGTGCACCGACACAGACCTTGAAAGCCATGAACTTGTGGTAGGGCTTGGGGGCCCAGGCGTACACCTCCACAGAGGTCTTGAGCGCAATCACCAGGAAGCGGATTCGCTCGTATTTCACTGCGCAGGGACAGAGCGCAGACGCAGACGGACGCCTCCGTGTTAAGGCTGGCCACAGCTGAGACATGAAACCGGACGCACGCACGCTGTACACGCTGCACGCGTATACAACGACAAGCCTCTGGTGGTTGACACCTGCGGTTAAAAACTGACAGGTGTACGTCACGCACAAAACATTGCTTTGTTACGTACAGTCATCATTTGTCATTTCTGGCAGAGAGATGAAGGCCTCAATCACGCCGTTTCGGTCGTTGCGGTGGTTCGACCATACTTCACCACACTGGTCAATGTGGGTTTGTTGGGTTGAGAAAGAAGGGGGGGGAGGCACCCAGTAGCTCTTCAAACATCACCCTGCACTGTCATGTTTGGGTAAAGTCCAGCTCTAAGATTTAGAAATATCGGTTTGACTCATGCCACAAACATTGCTGTAAGTTACAGAGTGGGTTGAGAAAGTGCTGCCCCCTACTTTGTGGAAGGGATGTCAAAGGTAGCCTTTCAATATTTGCTGACTTTGGCTGTTCTCCAACACGAAGGGGCGCCACTGCTCATCGAGAGATCCGAATAACTACTTCGTTTTCTGGCATGAAACCAATAACGTGGTCCGAATGACGGTGTATACAAACACGTGCATGAGAATTCATTATTTACAATTTAAAAACAATACTTATGGCACATGCCCATGGAGAAATTGACGGTACTAGAGTTGGGCTCTCTCCGATTATTTATTACTTGACCAATGGGACATGACGAAAATAGTTGTAAAAATAAAATCTCAACTCTGTTCTCACACGTGGCGACAGACAACGTGGCGTCAACGGCATCGTCATCATCAGCCGTGTCACACTCGACGTGGCTTGTAGGGGGTTTCCTGCCTTCAAGAGGCAGGATGTGGGAGTGGCCACCACGTTTGAAGAACGTTTGGCCGCGATAAATTTCCACATGATAAGTCACCTTTCATTGGGCTATCATTTGTGGCTAGGTCGCTTCTGAAAAAGAGCTACATAGCTCAGGGGGCCTTACCTGGTAAAACAATAACCATAGTCGATAGTTTCAATGAGCTCGAGTAATAAGACTGAAAGAAAGTGGTCGATGACGGGAGATCAGGAGCCCACTGCGCGATCATCGTACCGACTTTGTAGTGCACACAGCTCTCCAGGTCACCGACGGTGGTCCACCCCTGCTTCTTCTCCACCTCGGGGTCGTTGTGCAAGATCTTGTTGCGCAGCCACGACAGGTAGTAGACTCGCAGCTTGTTCTTCTTGCCTGCTCGCATCACCATCACCAACGTCGCCACCATCACTACCGTGACTATCATCACCAACCATGACAGGAAGTAACAATCTCGTTGTGCTCACCGTCAACAACATCGCTCACAGGACCACCACAATGGCAGAATGGTCAAATCTCAAGAGTCCAGTTGCATACAACTTTAAGGAAAATGTTTTCCTGAAGCTCCCCCACTGGGCAAAGTGGTGGCACTGGTTTGTGTACTGCTCTAACCTGGTAACCAGAGTTTGATTCCCGGTCACGGCTAGCATTAGTAATGATGGGAGAACCTTTCCCGAGTGATATCTAATCCGGTCACAGGTCTCTATTTCATAAAATTCAGACTAACCAGTGGGGTGAAGTATGGTCAAATAACCACCCATGGGCTATGAGGCATGGAGAGGCCTTCATCCAGAAGTTGTGTGAGACAGGGTTGTACTAAGTACAACCTTAATATAACCCTAGTACAACCCTGTTACAACCCTGTTGTACGGTGGTGAGATGTTAACTACCTCGCCTGGTATACAGGAGGTCGTGGGTTCGATCCCAATCCTTACGCCTGTATATTTGGGGTTTGCATGTTCTCCCCGTGGTCGCGTACATTTTTCTCTGGGTCCTCCGGGTTTTCCCTCTACATTTAGAAACATGTGTTTAGATTATTTGGCTGCTATAAATTTCCACATTATAAGCCACTTCGTTGAGCTATCATTTGTGGCAAGGATGCTTCTGAAAAATAGCTACATAGCTCAGTGAGCCTTACCTGGTAAAATTAAAATAGTTTATAGTTTACATTATTACTATTATTATCTAATCTTGCTTTGCTTTCATTGACAAACTACAAGGAAGTTGCACCTTACGCCTTTTTAGGAACTAGCCACGGAGGATTTCTCCAGACACCAAACATCGTCGCTGACGACGAGACGATCACACAGTCCAATCCCCTCATCGCCGGCGGGCAGGGGGACGCCGCACCCACCGGAGATGGTGACGAGGATGTTGAGCCCCTCCAGCACGTCCATCTGGTGGAAGCGGCGGCGGCTGATGAGCGGGTAGACCTTGCCCTGCCCGCTGCGGTCCAACAGCAGCAGTCCGTTCTCCGTGCCCACCAGCAGGTTCACGCCTAATGCACGAGAGTGGCATCCACGGGGAAATGGACCGATTTATCTAGTGCTGGATGAAGGCTACCCCCCTCCCACCCCACCTCTCCCCTCACAAAAGGCGTTGTCATCGCTCACATTCCCCACAAAGCGACTATTCGTCTAGCTCCTGCATACGAGTCAATTTCATCGTTCCTTAGGTCCGACGGACGCAGTTGCAGGCGTGTTCCGTCCTTTGGCTGCCACTCTGTCTTGACCACCATTCTTCCTAGACATGTCTTGCCCAAGTCCACTTACTTTACCCCAATTATACGTAGGTAAACAATGTTTTTTTTATAGCCAAATGTGCATGCGCTTCATCTTAACCGTATTTATTTTATCCCCTCCCTCCCATTACACCAGATAAATCGAGAATTGACCTATTTTAATTATCCAATGCAGTGGGGCTTTATGATGCAGCTCACAATCAGAAATGCACAAGTTCAAATTCCGGTCAGGGTTGGGGGGGGGGTGTAAACTCAGCACTTCGTTCCAACTGGGTCTGTTCTCCGAGTTACCCATTTAGCGGGAGAAGTCAACAGCAGCCGTTTAAGCAGAGACGGAAAAAGCGAGGGGAGAATTCGCGGAGACCCCGACACGCCGACCCGGAGCACTCACCCCAGAGCGCGGCGCACAGGATCTCCGAGTTGAAGCGCTTCTTGTACTTGCGGATCTCGGGCGCGTCGCTGTGCGGCCTCGTGTTGGTCGGGTTCACGTTCACCATGGAGCCCTTACGCCGCTCTCTCTGAGCCGCGTTTATCTGCGATGCCTGGGATGCTGTGTGGTCACACCGCGTCGCGCGCGGTTAGCGTCGCGCGCTGAAATGGGTCGATGCCACGCCCGCTGCGTTAATAAACGCCACCGTCCCCGAACAGCCACTTTCTTTGGAGGTTTTCCACCAATATTTTAACTCAATTCTAAATTAACTGCTTTTTGTGTTTAGTTTGTGGTCCTTCCCCGCACCTCCAATTAGCACAGTTAGCTACTTAAATTGCGAAAGAAGTTATACATACGTATGCGTCTACAATGACAACAGAAATGATGCGTCAACTCTCCAAGTTGACGGTATAATTCTGATATCATCAATGTAAGACTCGATTATCTTTTATCTGCATGTACTTGGTTCGATAACCCCTGCAGCTATTTGAAGCACTATATTCAAATAAAAAATACATTAATGGATTAAAAAAAAAAGAATTAAGACTCCAGATTATAATTAATCTGATTGTGATAGAGATGAGCCATTAAATGCGCTTCTGTGGCCGTCTGGAACGCTCTCCCTTCCAATATAAGCAAGCCACTTGAGCCATGCACTTTTAAAATCTAGATTGAAAACTCATTTCTTGAGAACTGCTTTTTGTATTTAGTTTGCTGTCCTTCCTCCACGCCTATGATTAGCATGGTTGGCTATGTACAGTGCGAAAGAAGTTCACTGCCGTAAAACCAACTTTGAATAAGAAACTGAATTTGTCCGTCCGCGAGTCGGTCAGTCACAGCACTTCATTTATTTTCCGTACAATCGGGTGAGGGGTCATTCTGACCAGAAGGGACTAACGACCTATGGCGTTGCTCAACATACGTGCATGAGGGACGTACCGGCGGAGATGGAGGAGAGGTTTGAGGGCGAGGGCTGAAAGGCGCCGTTGCTGGGCAGCACGTACGACGTGAACGACGAGGTGGAGATGTTCTTCTGCGGCATGCGGGAGACGCCCACCTGCAGGAACTGCGGCGGCAAGGCAACGCGGCAACACGAAAGGCGACAGACGCGCGGTGTCAAACAAAGCACGGCCACTGGTCGAATATGCGACCGACGAGAAAAAATATCCATCACCTCAACAGAATAATACCGCAGGCAAAGAAAACCGTAAGCTTCAAGCAACATGCAGAAATGTGTAAAAAAAAAGCACAGCCTCTGCGCAAATGCAACGACCATCAGCATTTCTTTGGACAAGAGGACCGCAATGCACTTGTTCAGGAAATGCTCACGGGTTTTTGCATACGCACAGAGTCCCGTGTGCTCTTCACACGCGTTTCCGTGTCGTCTGAAGCACAGTCGCCGACTCGACGATGCCGTCGTTTTGTTAGTTGCATTTCTCACTCTTTGCGTGCGATCACAAGCGCTGGAAACTACAAACGATTACACTCCGTGATGGGGACAAGTGGAACGCGCTGTCGACAGGAAACGTGTTAATCCCAGGCTGTAGTGCTAGGTCCAATAGATGGTGTCTTTGGTATTACATGTCACAAGCAATTGCATCGCCTTGTACAAGACATTTTATATATTATTAGTTCATTAAGGGTTCTGCAATCTTGATTTGAAGCTTTCGTGACTGCAGGAATCCACTCTTTGGTTCTTTCGGTAAAGTCACGTAGGTATAAAATAAAATAAATCACGACGTTTCGGGCGCAACACAAGCGTCCGTCATCAGGTGGGAAAGCACGGTCCACCTGATGAGACGCTGGTATTGCACACTAAACGTCACGATTTATGTTATACCTACATGACTTTACCGAAAGAACCAAAGAGTATGGTTCTTCAACAAGTAATCCTTTGTGAACAAATATATATTAGATCTTACACAGCTCTTAAAGACAGCCAAATAAATAGTTAGGGTCTGCATTCTAGTGCTCATGTCATTACTGTTAAATGTAGACTCGGAGCTTCACAAAAAACGAGTTTAGAGATTTAAATATTAAAACATGATTGCGAGGACACAGCATGAGCGTGCACTAGGAAGTGACAATTTTTTTTAAATGCAGGAAAAAAAGCAACACAAATGCAAACGTATAGGCCACAAAAACTGCCACAGTGTTCTCTGCAAACACAAAAGCACCTGCCACCTACTTGGTATCATTTACATTTACGAGTTGTATTGGTATATCCGTGGGATGAAACGATTCCACGAGTACAAATCAATTATATGGCTCAAGATGCATGCACGGAAACCGTGCATGTACAAATCGCTTGTCGACGACGGTCTACGCGATTTGTGGTTCAAGGAAACCCCACAGCCACTTAGGATTCTGCGTGTATAGCGGTCGCGAAAAGGACGAATCAATTTGTGACTTAAAACAGGACACTATACTGTTCCAATTAATTGGATTGTACGAAGGGATTGCTAATAATGACACTCTTATTTAAGAAGCGTGTTCCATTAGAAATTAGTTTCAACCATCCTACTTAAAAATATATCAAAAGTAAAAAAAAAATTGCTGACCAAATGTTTTAAGTTGACAGATTGAAGAAGACACAACCTAAACCAAGCAGATCTTTACATTTGTAGATAGGACCTTTGGCTGTGTGTCCTGTCACGATGGGGTGCAGTTCACAGCCGATACATTGCGAGTTCATATCGTGGCCGGCCAGAATTTAAGCCAGTCCTTGAAGTGAAATTAGTCTGGAGAATTCTGTCCGCCAACTGCATGGCAACTGAAGTCTCGAACTTAACTTCAGCGGCTCACGAGACACGCGGTGTTACCATATATACAAAATAAACGCTTGTTTAGGGCTGCGTCTTCCCGTAACCGTCCGACTGCCAGAGAACACTGTGGCGGTCTTTCGCACGGGCCCAGCGCAAGCAGGCGACACGTCGCGGACGGGACGGACCTTGCTGAGGCGGGAGGCATCTAGGATGGGCGAATTAGACCCCGCGCGGAGCTTACGCAGCAGCGAGGGGGTGAAAGCGAGAGCGGGGAGAGAGGGCAGCACGGGCGGAGCAGCGCGTCTGGGCTTGGCGGCACCGGTGGGGGGGTGGGAAGAGGGAAGCAGGCGCGCGGCAGGGTTGAGAAACGGACGCCGGAGGAGGGCAGATACAGGGACATGTGGACAGACAGAATGTGGGTAGAGAGAGACGAAGGCAAAACACTCTTTATGCGTCATTGCTCGTTGGAAAGGACACGCGGCAGAAACCTTTTCTCAGAGCAGAAATATCCCCAGTGATTTAGCAGAATTCAACACAGGCCTGGAGTAGAAGATCTCGGAAGGTGCAGCATTATCCACCTGCCCTAAACTAGCTATCGTAAAGCCTACAATTTGTAAATGTCGCTTGAATAGTACTTGGAAAACCTACCAATAACTATCGGTAAGCTTATGAGTACTAAAAATGCCTTAAGCAACCAATCAAAAGGCAAACAATATTTAACACTCCTCAATAGCCTTCAAAAGCCTACCATTATTAGCTTCCATGCAATGATCCAATAAAAATCCTACCAGTCTTCAACAGCACATAAATTTGCATTAAGAGCACAGACGAAAGTAAAAAAAAGCAACGAAATGAAAGCAAAAACAAAAAATGTGAGACGGTCAAAGCGAGTAGCGGCGCGTCAATCGGCGGGGGGGTTGGGGGGGGAGCAAGCGACCCGCCTCGTCCAGCGCGGGAGCCACGTGGCCGCGAGCGAGCGCACAGCTACCTCCTCCTCCTCCGAGCCGGGGGGGTAGGGCACGGCCTTGAACGCCGCCGAGTGGGGGCCGTGGGGGCCCTGAGCGCTGGGGTTCTGCGGGAGGAGGTCTGGCAGGGCCCCGCTGCGGCCGGCCATGCCGTTGCTGTCGGCGTGCACCACGCGCTTCTTCTCGTTCTGTCGCAAGGGCACGCGCGCCGCCGAGTGAGCACACAGCGAGACCTGCACGTTGTACGTGTGTCTGCGTGGGGAGCGGTAGCATAGCGGTTAGTACGCTGTGTGTGTGTGTACATTCGTCTGCACGGGGAGCGAAAGCCAAGCTGGGGATCCCGAAAGCCAAGCTGGATTATTGATGATGGATAGCGGTCAGATGGGCACACACCATGCATAACAGGTGTTATAGACTGTAGGGCTATGCTGCGGGCAGCAGAGGGCAGCGCAGCAAAAATCCACAGTTGTGCAATCTGCACTCACAAGCATACTGTGACATTATAATTCTTCCCGAGGATTAATACACTCAAACCGAGCTCGATTCCTGGCCGTAGCTAAAACGAACGCCGTCTGACCCAGTCTTGGATATCCCCCCCACCACCTTCATCAACCCGCACCTGGCAAGCGCGATGAAATACGCTCAAACAACTCCCAGTACACGCACGGCATGGAGTGGGGGGGAGCGGGCTTCTTTCATCAGCGAGCAGTGCGCACGACGCCGATCGCGAGCAACGTGGCGGTCGCGTAAGAGAGATAGAGAGAGGGGGTAGAGAGCCCCGTCGCAACGGCGGGAGCCACCTCGTGAACGATCAGAGTGCCGTCGCCGGAGGGGTCCTGCGAGGGGAGCCCCGTCTCGTCGTGCACCACCAAGGTGTCCGTGTCGTTCGTGGGACGCCTGCGGACAACACGGTGGTGTGGGGGGGGGGGGGGGCGGCGGCACCGGTGGTCATTTTGTTCAGTGCATTTGTGACGTCAAGACAAAGTGAGTTTTTATTTTAGGTACCGGAGGCCATTTATGAGTGGACAATAAACAAGCGCGATGACAGCCACCACTACCAAAAACATTACCGACGATGACGAGGTGAGATGAACGAGTCGGAATGAAGATGCAGAGAACCATAATTTTGTAAAGCACCGCATATCAAGACCCAAAATGGTAATTGGCTATACATGTATATACATGTAATTAACAGGTTAGTCAATCGGTTTGGGCAAAAATTGCACGCACCCTCAATAATATTTAACTAAATGATTGACTGTTTAAGTTGAATAGTCTAAGAGAATAACTCAAGAAATCCACAAAGACAAAAAAAAGACAGCTTTGTTCTTGTCGACTCGACCTATGACCGATGAAATTAACACCACGGGGCACAGCAGGCCCATGAACATCAAACGCGTCACGTGGTTGTCATGCACCCCCGGTGTCAGGATTAAATGCCCCCCCCGCCCCCATGTAGCTCAACACACGAACCCCAACAGACATTTGCACCGCCTGTTCACGCGACAGCTACGGCACTGGCTTAGATCTCTGTGCGAGTCAATGGTGACCAGTCGGAGAACATCAACTCGCTCCGTCTGTCTATGGGTCTCCATGCGAATATATGGCAGTGACGTCACGTGTGATTGGCATGCGCCCCGATTTCCCCATCCGATCTTCACTGCCTGGTGCCTGGGCTCCTCCATCACACGTTGCTACCTCCGCCCTATTGCCAATAAGCCTGCTAAAGCCGCAAGCCACTTTCGGATTCAGACCCAGATGACCCTGAGAGTGTGGAGATGGAGGAAGAGGGTCCAGAGGACTCCACTTCCCAATTACAATCCCACCCCTCCCCCATCACCCCATCATTATGATCATCATCAAATGAAAATTCTATTTAATTTACTGTACTTTCCTTAATTAAACATGTCCTTAAATGTGACTGAAATTCTCTTTATTTAGTGTATTGTGTTCATTGGTTAATTTAAAGTGAACATAAAAAAAGTATTTGTACGTGATTTCATAGGTTCACTCATGACCTTGGTCCCCCAAATCCTACTTTCCACATAAGGTCATCAGTTTACCAACCAACTGTGGGGGTTTTCAAGAACCTACCCTCGTCGTTGGCAAGGGATTGCTGTATTTGGCTGCTATAAATTTCCATGTGATAAGCCACTTCCTTGAGCTATCGTTTGTGGTCAGGTTGTTTCTGAAAAAGAGCCACACAGCTCAGTGGGCTTGACCTGGTGAAATAAAAAAACAGTTTAATGTATTTTCACTTTTTAAGTTTAGCAGTTCCACTGCCTGCACGCCGCACGGATCGACATCGCCACCGTCCGGCCCCACCGATGGCTCACGCGGCGGGGGCGTACATTTGTCTCGACATGCCGTGCACCGGGATGGTGCCATCGCGTCGCCGGCCCTCCGCCTCCTCCTCTGCGTCCTCCTCCTCCTCGTCGTCCTCCTCCTGGTCCGAGTCGGCGGACTCGTCGCTCGACGAGGAGTACTCCGTCGACTTCTGCGCCACCCGCCCGGTGTCTGACAGGACCTGCGGGCGGCAGGGGGTGGCAGCAATCGTCACGCGCAGTCGGGTTCGTGGTGATAGAGCGGGGTGGCAACGGTGAACAGAACGCGGGCACGAATTTGGCGCAGGGCTCGGGTTGCCGCAATGTGCCGATAACTACGATATATCGCGAGATGCAAGATCTACGATAATCGTATGACAAATGATTTTTGGGAACCCTACACAGCGCAAAGCTACAGGTGGTGTAACACAGCGAAGCATGGGCAGTAGAGTTTAGAGCCGGTAGATTCATAATGTATTAATCTAACAACCAGAATCTTGGTTAGTGCGTACATTTTCTATTATTTATTTCTAAGGCCTTTTAAAATTATCTATTGAGTTCCAAGCCCTGTCCTTTTAAAACAATGATTCAGTTGCATGCATGATTTGAATTCTCTTTTCTTTGTCTTTTTACCCAATTGTTACCCCAACTGTGCTATCGGCATCATGCTGTGTCACAAGACACAGAATCCATTCGCAACTCTCTCTAGAGAAGTGTAACACCTCATTCTGTTCCATGCACGGCATGCACCGACACTTGCTTCTTTTGTATCGTGACCTATGTAACCACGTTTGTGGAATTAAGATCTGTACGTGTAGCAGGACGCCCATGAAATAGCGCCGAGCATCTCATTGGGCCCTTCCTGGTGAAATAAGTACAATCCATCAAGATAAGAGAATGGGCCACAATGCCACTGTAATCCTTGGTCACCTGACAGTCAAACAATTTTTTTTTATTCTCAGAGCTCGAATTTGGTCACGTTAAGTGCGGTACTGATGCACTTTTTCTGTAGTCATTGGTGATTGGGCTGAGACCATCGACTCACTGTACTTGAAAACCCAGTTTAATAATGGGGTGCTACCTAGATTCAAAACTAATGCCAGCTTCTGATATTCGGAAGTCAGTGGAGCTGTGCACTTTCAAACCTAAATTGAAAACTCGAATTTCTTTCGACCTGCTTTGTGTTTAGTTTGTTGTCCTTCCCCCGCACCTCCGATCAGCACGGTTGGCTACGTATCGTGCAAAAGAAGTTCAACATAAATACGTAAATCTGACCCGAGCTACCTGGCTACCTCAACGTTTTAGGATTATAAATTTGTGGAGTAATTAGTTGCTTGTGGCTCCCTGTAAAGATTCATATTGACCCAACCTCTTTCTCATTGGCCACAGCTGTGTACAAATAAAAACTGTAAGTATAATTGGATCGAAGCCGTGAGAGCTGGATACAAAAATTACCTAGCAGAGTAAAAAATTCCCGAGGCTTCCAAAACATAGGAGGGCCCCTGACGATTCCTCAAAGATATCCTGATGATGTCACATCATGCTCCGTACCATTTAACTCATTTTACGTGCACTTAATTACTTGTGTAGTGACATAGGACGTCACTGCTGTGTTAGTGAGTTGAGGAAGGTGGTCACCACCTTATGTACAGTGTTATATTATATTCTTAGTTTTTTCGGTAAAGTCACGTTGAAGAGAAACAACAAAATAATAAAATATATAAACAATAAAAAATTCTCACGAAACGTCGTGAGAATTTTTTTATTGTTTTATATATATTTTATTATTTTGTTGTTTCTCTTCAACGTGACTTTACCGAAAAAACTAAGAATATGAATTACTGCAGTCACGAAAGCTTTAAATCAAAATTTAGTGTTATATTATTTACTGTTCTAACAAATGCTGTTGCCTCCAAGCTGTATGTGTGCACCTAATTCGAACCCATTACACTTGCTTAAAGTTCTCATCCTAATATAGAATAAAAAGCTGGTCTCAAAAATTGCTCGACCATCATTTTCACGCTATACGAGCAAAAAGGTTTTGCTGGCTGGCTGCCTTCCTGGCACGCGAATGCGGTAGTGACGTCAGCGCGCACATATCTGCACAATGAAGTCACCGGCAATGCCACAGCGATAGGTTCTTGCGTCGTGCCGACGTCATGCCACCTCCGCTCCCACCAAGCGAGGTGGGGGGGGCACTATAAAGGGTGAGCGAGTTGCGAGGATATCACGACATTTATACTGCGTTTCAGCCGAGCTCCTTTTATGATTCAATTAACTCGTGAAAAAAATAACACTGTCATTACAACCGACGCAACAAAAGCAATTGGTTACAAATTACAGCACGTGCATACTACAAATTGATCAGGCAAATACGTGATTTTAACCTGCATTCTTTGACTTTAATTTTAGCGGGTGCAAACGACTCCATTGAAGTCATTGCGTGAAGCGTGCATGGTGGAACTTCAACTACGGTACTGCAGCCCAGCGTTTTTACACACTCCGGACCTCGCAAGCCCCATAGTTCCACATTTGTGTGAAAAGCAATATATTCTATTCATGTTGCAAAATTTGTTTCACTGCACATTGCATGCAGCATTGAGAGGAAGCTTTACCGTGGGGGGAGGGGGGGTGCAAGGACTGGAGTTGAGAAACTCTACTCTAGCAAATGAGCTTCTTAACTCCGGCATCCAGGGCCAAAATCCAGCCCGGCTTTTGACGATTACCATTTTCCCCAGTCCAAGTGCCTGCCAGTCTTTAAACGAGGCATTAGCACCCAATGTGAAAACTAGTTTCGATAGGCCACCGTCAACGCGCTCCGTTCACTACTGCTTCTGCGGTGCCGAGGTGGGGGGTGGAGGGGAGTCTCTCGAATCTGACAGTGAGGAAAGGAGCTTGCTGAGATGGCCACCTCAAGGTAACCAGGTGGGCACAGGACGAGCTGGGACTGGGAGGACATCCCGGGCACGGGAGTTTGCGACATCGCAGCTCGTGCTGAATTGACAGGATGATGCCATCCTTCAATGCTGTGCAAGGTGCAGTCTTAGCTCATTCTTGAGTGGTAGAGGTGGTGGTAGCTTCAGTGCAGGCGTAAAGCATGACTCAAACAGTGACTGTGCAGCATTTGACTTCAACACTCTCTGCAGACCGGTTGCCTGGTGCAGAAAACCACATTCTGGCTTTGCAGCACAAAACCGAGTCCTCTTACGAACTCGTGGGAATGGGGTGACCAGTTTGATTCAAATATCTATTATTTTCAACCTGTTACCATCTCTAATTTTTCTGGCCTCGTTCATAAAGTCTTGTTCTCTCCACCGGTGTAAATATAATGTTCGGATTAACTGCTAATCATCCGATTCACAACCGCACACGAGTTAACACGTGTATCGGGAATACAAAAATCTATTCTAAATCAAGACATAAGTCATTAAATGTCTAACAAACTACAGACTACATTTACAGCCATTGTATGCTGATCGTGCATATTAAGTCGATACATATACAGGCTATATATGCATCTTGAAAACACGCTGCATATACGCCGACGCGCACTCAAACACATCAGCGGAGAAGTCACATTCCATTTACCATCGGATGACTCTTGAAAATGTCTCACTATCCTTTTCGCTGGTTAATCACAAAATAAACTTTGACATTTTTTAAAGAAACAAAACCATTTACTCATTTAGATACGGCCAAATTGAGGTTTTCTTTGGGGGGGGGGGGGGGGGGGGTGGGGGGATTTGAAATGTGACCGCTGACACGCTTCAGACGGTCAGACCGAAAATAAAACTGGAATGACGCAAGCAGCCTGCGATGGAAGCAGGCGCAAGAGAGGGCCGCAGCAGCGGGGAGGGCGCTTACCATCTCGCCCTACGTGTGTGCCCGTGGCGCCGTCAGGAGGAGAGCAATAACACAACCGCTGTTACCGCCTCCGTTCCGACGCGAATCAACAGCCGCGGGGTGTAAAATCGCGGCCGCGGCAACAGCAACAATAATCCTCCGAACGCAAACGCGGCTTGCGTCTTAATAAGGTGTGCAAACGAAGTGCGGGAAACGTGATAGAACTGACCTCGGAGATAGCTTTTGTATAGCTCTTATGGTTAAGCGTGGAGTCGGGAAAAGTGAGAGAAATCGTTTCAGAAAACGGATACAAAAACGAGGCAAAAAAAATATCAACCCTCTACAGCGACACAAACCTTTGAGACAAGTTGCGTTTCGCTTAGCGATCACCTGTGAAAGCTGGCATGGCGCATAGGGGGATAGTGTGGACAATGTCAAGTCCAAGCTAACGTGAACTCGTGTTTACACACTGCACAAAGCACTCATTTTAAAACTGAGTCGACCTAGGTCAGAGTGCAGAATCAGAATATTGTATTTATCCTGGAGAAATCAGATGAGCAACGAAGCTTTTTTCACAGCTCTCCAGCAGGGGCAGGTCAGAAAGTTACAACAAACAATGCAAACTATAGGAAAGTTAAGCAGATCACTAAAAAAATAAACTAAAACTAAACTTTTATTTTACTTGGTGAAGCCCACCGAGCTATTAAGTTAAGATTACAGCACTCTTCTTTACAATGCATACAGGAATCTCGCACTCAAGCACATTCTCGCGAACGGTCGAGCCACAGGGGAGCGATCGGCGAACGACACCTTAATGCATTTGGTGGGAATGGTCAAACCCGCGATGGGCGAGTTGTACATTAACTTCTCACGTATGCAAGCGGTTTAATGCACCAATAATACTTCTTTCGGCTCACCGGCCGAGCTGACTAGCAAATCTCGTTGCCAAATCTATCAATAGCCATGCCGATTTGCTTGGAAATATGCCAAACATCAGGGAACAAAAACGCCCAGGCCTCAATGAGAAGCGAGGCAGAGGTAAATCTCACCAGCGTATTACCAAACGAGGCGTCATTTCTATTGCTACATTTCATCCCGAAAATTTTTCTTAAACTTGCCTGGGAGCCGAAATTACAATAAACTGGTGCATTACAACGCTCAGGGACGTGGACAATTTTATGGATTTTCTCGTAAATGTTGTGGGTTTGCTCTCCAACTCACTGGTGTGCTATACAAGTAACGAATTGGCATTTTCAGTTTACGTGACAAACCTTACTAATTGGCCGAGTTGGGTGGTGGCAGGTTTAACTCGCATTTATATTTACACAATCTAACCTAAAAAAAACCTCTTATGGATGAAAATTTTATTTATTTGGCGAAGTCGGGTTGGTGGAGGGTTTCATGACACAAACTTGGTCAGATCATTACGTGGCTGAACGCAAAAATCAATTATGAATCGTTATATCAGCCACAAAAGCATAGGTGTGTTGAGGCTGTAGCGTACTGCTTCAATTAAAGCTAGGGCTAGAATGATGATACAGGAGCGAAGTATTCTTATTAATACGACAACTGGCGGTGCTGTTGGTGCAGGCTTACCGGCGGTCTCATCGGTCGCGTAAACTCGGGTCGCTCCGCTTGAGTAACCGGTAACGGTTCAGGGTTGCTCGACGCTTCAACCTGAAGGGCAGCACCTGCAAAGTGTAGCGAGAATGTCATTAAAGACCGCGAAATAAGGAACATCACAGAGCTTGCCTTCTTTCTTACAACATTTTGTCAATCCACCGCTGACTCCATCTCTTAGAGGGGTTGGTGAAGGGTAAGTTCGGATGCAAATTGTCACTGACGTTATAAGCGTTATTAACCACTGTAGCACCACTCCACAGAGCTCGCATCATCCTCAATAATAACAATAACATTTGCGTTGTTTACCCAGAATATGCTCGAAAAGCACCTGTTCCAATACCACATTGATCAGTAGAAGCAAGTGAGGTAAAAATAACCTCCATGACCAACGTGGTGTGGGGAAGGCCATCATCACCCAACAGCGGATTAAGGAGGACTGCAAATTAAAGAATCCATTGAGACAAAAAGTCTCCTTCAAGGGCAACTCCGAGAACCCAGCTGCACAGCATGAACCAGATGCATGTTTGGATTCATTAATCCACACACACGCACATCAGCTGTCACACACAGCCAAGGAAGATAGGTGCCAGGAGGTGAGTGTGGCGTTTGGGTGGGGCAGTAGTAGTTGGGGCAATGACCTCTGCTCTGGTTGCGCTCACGAGACCCGGGCTGCGAGCCGGGCTGAGACCCGGGCTGTGAACCCGGCTGCGACCCCGGTCGGGATCCCGGCGTGCTGGAGCCGGAGTGCGATCCGGATCCGGAGCTGGACGAGCCACCGCTGCCGAACTTGTGCGGCTGCTGGTGCTGCACGATCCCTGCCGCTCTCGCCTCCAAGGCACTGCCGGCACTGGAACGAAAGAGCCGGCGGGTAATTACATTAAAATGCGCAGGAGGCGCAGTTCTAAGCACACGCGTAACAGATTCGCACACGCGCAGTGGCATAACGTAGTTGGCACATACATACGTGTGCGCGTGGCTTAGATGGGTGCAGTAATGATTAACTTGGAAACAGAGTTGATCAAAATATTCTTAGCTCTTTCGGTAAAGTCACGTTGAAGGGAAACAATAAAATAATAATATATATAAAACAATAGAAATTCTCACGACGTTTCGACCATAACACAAACGGTCATCATCAGGCGTGTCGGTTTGCATAAATCTATTTATTTTTAAACAGTGTAGTTATTTATAAAAAAAGAGTTGATCAAGTTCGGAGAGGTCTTTGGTAGGTATACAATCATTTGCCTCCCAGCGATTGAATGAACCATTATAATTCTATGGAATACATTTTTATTTACAAACTGTGAATGAAGTACATCGAGTGGCTGCAGAGGTCACGTGAAATCATTATATACAAATCCATTCCCAAGATGCGTGATTTGATGCAGTATGAACAGGTAAACCAGAGTTAATTGGCAGATAGCGTGATGTGGAGTAAAGTGTGCGCTACCCCACCTCTTACAAAATGTCTGGCCAGCCTGAAAGAATAGGCCAAAAAACGCTCTAGAGATACAGAGCTCCCTTCTAAGCCCTTCAGCTAGCCATGGCACCGTGATGGCAAGATGTTAACTTCCTCGCCTGGTATAGACGAGGTCTTGCACTCGCTCCCGACCATGATGCATGTACATCTGGAGTTTGCTTGTTGTCCCAGGTCCTCTGGTTTTCCGCTCCACATTTAGAAATATGCGTTGGGAGTATTTGGCCGCTATAAATATCCACGTAAGCCACTTGGTTCAGCTATCATTTGTGGCCAGGTTGCTTCTGAAAAAGAGCTATGCAGCACAGTGGGCCTTACCTGGTACAATAAAAAACAAATTTCGATTTAAAGCTTTCGTGACTGCAAGGATTAATCTTCTTTGGTTCTTTCGGTAAAGTCACGTAGAATAAAAAACAAGTTTCATAGTTTTAGTTTAAGTGCAGGGCTGCACGTTTACCCTTTACCTATTTAGCCCTCAGTAAAGTAACAGTTCTGCTCTCCTGATGTACACAAAACACACGGATGTGTATATTCTGGACTCTCCTGCCCACAAGACAAATCGTCTGTGTCCCCGTGCTGCCGGCCTGGTGGCAACCATGGCAGCCGCACCTGGCCTGGCGAACGTGGCGTGGCGTGAGCCCCGGGAGGTGGCTGGGCGAGTTTCTGCGGCCCAGCTTGGGCGAGACGAGCCCGGCTCGCACCGGCACCTGTTGAGGGTCGTGTTGAAAGCCAGAAGCACGAGACGCAGGCACAAGAGACACGAGGGCCAAACGATCAAACAAAGAAAAAAAATAACACCTACAAACGCGTCCTCGAAATAATGCGGGCACGAAGTCAATGTCGCAGAACTCCGTTTGGGGGTTAATCCAGCAGGCCTCTTATCCACACCAATTCTTAGAATTGGAATTTAGTCAATTAATAGGTATCAATCGAAATTTGCGCAAAAGTAGTTTTTTGTGTGCAGTTGAGAAGTCAGTGTTAAACAATGGTTGCCAAAACTCAAGATTCTAACTCAGGATTTCTTCTCAGCGGTGCTGGGCACACGGTGCCTCAGGATCTCGAGAGCCAGCTCTCGGGGATTTACCCCGCTGCCTTTTCAAAACCACAACGTCGACCTGACCTTGGCCGTCAGATCCTCCCACTCGGTTCTGCTCCGTGCCAGTAACTGCTCCGGGCCTCCGGGGCCCACGGGAGCGGCGGGATGCCGGGGGCTGGCCGCGGCGGGGGCGGCGCCGTTGCCGAGTGAGGCCACGGGGGGAGCGCTCGGGGCGGCCGCCACGAGGTCCTCCTCAGGCACCGACTGCGAGCGTGGCATGGGGCCAGAGCCCTGCTGCCGCAGCGGCACGCGGTGCGCGACCTGCACCTGCTGGTGCTGCATGCACACATTGGCAAGCTCGGTCACACGCGTGTGCGCGATATTAATTATATTCTTGGTTCTTTCGGTAAAGTCACGTAGAAGGGAAACAAGAAAATAATAAAAAAAATTCCCTTCTACGTGACTTTACCGAAAGAACCAAGAATATGAATCCCTGCAGTCACGAAAGCTTTAAATAAAAAAATAATTCATTAGTTTGCTTTTGTATGTAGAACTTCTTTTTCACCGTATGTAGCCAGCCAACCTTGGTAATCGGAGGTGCAGGGGTAGGACAACTACAACACAAAAAGCATTGTTTGTACCAAACCACCGACCTAGAATGTGCCCGATCCTGTCAAATCTCAGAAGCTAAGCGGGGTTGAGCCTTGATATTTTGAGTAGCTTCCAAATATATACAGGGTGTTTCAAAAAGAAGGACCCGATTTGAAATCGCTATATCTCTGCAACCACGAACCGCCCATGAATTAAACTCTTACCTCTTGAAAGGGCGGGGCATAGAGTTTCACATGATTACCGCTAGATGCCTCTCCCAGCACACAAACAAGCCCCTAGCCTCAGTCATTCGCAAGACAACACTGCGTCAACATTGGATAAGGTCGCACGGGACCCCAAGACTGGGCGCTACACTCTTGGCCCCCAAGATCCCCAGACATCATCACACCCTGCGACTTTTTATTGTAAGGATACGTCAAAGACCGTGGTGTTTTTGTGCCACCATTAGCGACTAATCTGGATGACCTCAAAAACAGAATCACGGCAGCGGCGACTTCAGTGGAAGAGAAGACACTTTTTGAGAGGCGTTTGGAACCAATTCCACTATCGTCTCGATGTTGTCCGTACAGCAGATGGAGGGCACAGAGCATTTATAAAATGGCTAGTAAAACTTGATAACTCATTAAACCGTTTGTAACTTTTTGTGTAATTGTAACATGTTGCCATCGTGAAATAGACTGCTTTGAAATTGGGTCCATCTTTTTAAACACCCTGTATTATATATACTGCTTTATGTTGGTTGAAATGTAATACTGTAGCACTATTGATAAATTTCCAAGGTAACGTGGCAATGCAAACCTTAGCATCACCATGTGGATTACTACCAGTCGTATGACGAAATTATAAGTTTTTACACATTTAAAAACTCCAACTGAAATAAACCAAGGTGAATAACAATAAAGTGTTTGGCATTGGGCATGGGTGGTGGCAAAACAGGAAGGCCCACTGAGCTATAAAGTCCTTTTTCAGAAGGGACCCGGCCACAAATGTGTTGGTATGTATTGTTCACTCGGCCTTGTCCACCACCACCTGTGCGGCAACCTTCGGGCAACCCCCAGCGGCAGACTTGCCTGCGACTCGGGGCCCCTGTGGAAGGCGGACGGCGCTGCTGGTCCCTGCGGTGCCGCCACGGCGAACACGTCCGGCTGTGATGCTCGCTGTCCCCCGGCAGCCGCCGCCACGGGCATCTTGCGGTTCTGCTTCGAGCGATCCTCCACCTGCGGAGCAGCACACGCGCACTCGTCAGCCTCACCCGAGCGGCACGTGTATCGTAGCCGCAAGGCCCGGTGCACTGCCGCAGTGACAGCGGCTACTGGTTTCGCAATGCTTTTAAGTTGGGACTCGATAACTCGGCATATAATGGATTCAACCCTAAGGAGATTCGAGAATTGTCGCAATTCGGGGGTCACGATTAAATTCTCCCCTTTGTTCTGCCTAGTGCTTTATTGTCCATCTCAAATGATGTCCCATATGTTTGTGTGCTTGTATTGATACATTTTTTCCTTAGCTGTGGCTAAAACCCTATCTGCAGCTCGCTCTGAAATGCAGAGAAAACAGCGATCCTCATAGGTTGTGGGCAGGGGAAGTAAGGTGGCAGGGGGTGGCAGAGAGAGCCCTTGGTGCTGGCATTATGTGCACTCGTCTTCCCTTATTATTCACCAGCTGGCTGTCCGCGATTTTGGCTATCTGCGAATCGCATCTGGGACTCTACGCGACTGCATCAAGAGAGCAAATGATGACAGAGAATTTCTCAAGCATCTGCAGGACGTTGCACACGTGATATTTGTAGGCCATTTTCATTTTCCGCAACATTTTCTATTCACGAGCATCTCCGGAACGCATCTCTCGCGAATAACGAGGGAATAACTGCATCTGCATCACAGTCCACGACCTCAACGGGAATTGCTGCGATTAGTTAAGATTAACTAAGCGCTAATTGTTAAGATGAGCTTAGTGACCCGTTGGTGGCAGCATGGACAATTCGATTCTCTTGTTTGTTCTCCCTTTGTTGGTATTGTCCCTGTCAAATGGTTTGTTCAGTGTGTTTGTACTGCTAGGCAAGTAAGGTGTTGGTTGTATTGCTCATTTCGTACGTTTGTCTTGTGTGTAATTGGAGTGTTGTCGTCTTGTTCGTCATTTCTCATTGGTAATAGAGGTCTTACTCGCTTGTTTTTCATCATTCTGTCCGCCTCATTGGCAATATCTCTCATGAGAGTAGTTTGCTCCGTCTCGTTCATTCCATTCACTCAAACGTAATGTATTCATGTAATATGCAAAACCCACAAGAGACCAATTTTGAAAAGCATGCACTGAGTACAAAATCAACTTGAATCGCTGGATCGTTAAATTTGCCTATCGGCGGCCTCCTCCACCCACAAAGCGTTTGTCATTATCAAATGTCAATTTTTTTTTATCGTATCTTACAACATGATGGCCAGTGTTTGACCATACTTCACCATGCAGGTCAGTGTGGGTTGGTTAAAGAGAGCACATTTTATAGAGCATACCAATGTGTCGAATGAAGTTAATTGGTACATACTGCCGGCTATGTCGTACGGGTCAAGACGCATGGACCCTGATAGATTAAATGGAACGAAAGTTGAAAAGCACTAAAGAATTCACAGAAAGGCGAGTGCTTACCAATGCACCGAGAGAGAGAGATAGCTTAAACAACACGAACAAACGCACACATCGGAGACACCACACGGACAGTTCGGTAAATGGGATCTTGGAGGCAGGACTGGTCAACAGACGGGCCTCGATGGCTGAAGAACGAGACTGGTGACGGAATAGCAGCCCAAGGAGTGGTCGCCCAGGAGGACGACCGCCACCACAGGGGAACGATGAGACGAGTTCACGTGCCAGGAGAGACAATGAGGGAGCCACGGTGGCTAGTAGATGTTAACTACCTCGCCTGGTGTACAGGAGGTCATGGCATCATTAGACCTCCTTTGCCAGTACCAAAATATAATAGGGGTTTTCCCCTTTTTTCTGGCAACAAAACTGAAACCTTTTTACAAAGAATCATGTGTGCATTAACCACAATACTTGTGCTCAAAATGCAAACAAAAAACACACTATAATATATGCATTGTCCTTAAAACTGATTGGTCCACACCAGAGACGGCTTTCTTTTGAGCCTCGTCTCAATTGGTGCTAGACCAGAGGACGCCAAAAGGCATACAGCTCAAAGACAATGCACTATCAAAGTAATGAGGGCTCGGGGTAAGCATCTACATCATTCGACCTCCTTTGCCAGTACCAAAATATAATAGGGTTTTTCCCCTTTTTTATTATCAGGGTGTGTTTTGTGTTTGCATTTTGAGCACAAGTATTGTGGTTAATGCACACATGATTCCTTGTGAAAAGGTTTCAGTTTTGTTGCCAGAAAAAATGGGAAAACCCCTATTATTAGGAGGCCATGGGTTCGATCCCAACCCTGACGCTGGCTTTTGTATATTCGGAGTTTGCGGTGTCCCTCTCCCGTGGCCGCGTAGATTTTTCTCTGGGTCCACCGGCTTTCCTTTCCAAATTTAGAATCAACGTGTGTTTAGAGTATTTGCCTGCTATAAATGTACACATGATAAGCCAATTCGTTGAGCTGTCATTTGCAATAGCCAGGTCGCTTCTGAAAAATAGCCACATCGCAGAGTGGGGCCTTATCTGGTAAAATAAAAAACTTTAGTTTTGATAGTTAGCGGCACTGATCTGTAAGAGGTGGCATGGGCGGAGGGCCTTCAAAGTTGCAGCGTATAGACGATAGCTGATGATGTACAACAACTTTAATTGTAATTCTTGTTAAATGCCAAATCATTTGAGTTACATTATCACACAATAAAATGAGTATTGCATGCTGTATATATATCCCTAATACGCGTAATACAAACGTATGTATGTGTTGTACATATGTACAGAAACTCACCACAGAAGACGATATACATAAGTATATTTTAAGACCCTGTTGTTCCTAACATGCCGTATAAAGGAAGACATCACTGAAAACAAACAAACAGCTCTTTACAGTGTAGGTTTTTACCTCGGCTGTGTGTCCTGGGCTGACAAGCACTCGAAGCTTCATTAGTTACAGTCAAGCGTGCCGTCATGACACTCTGACATCAATGAAACGTTCTAAAAACACTTCTTCAATGCAGTGACATTACCTGAGCACTGACAAAGTAGCTGGGTATTTTTTGAAGTCTTTATTCTCAGTAGGAAGCGTAAAAACCTCGTGTCGGACAGCCCGGGACATATGCAGGCCAGCTACGTATTTTTAAGAGCCGTTTGTCTTTCGGTTGCATCTTCCTTTCAAAATCTACAGACTAAACCTACTAGCCATTCCCTCTAAGACTGCAGTGCATCTCAACTCCAGCCCTTGCGATACTGAAGTAGAGATACTCTGCTCGACCGTACAGGATGCTCGTAAACCGTGACACTAGGGTAGGTTTATGGCAATCGTCACTGGGAAGCACCGCCATACCATTTCCTATTGCGAAAAATTAAAAGATGTTGCCGAAAACCTGAACAACTCTAACTCATGCTCCCCCCAAATGGGCAGCTAGGATTATTACTTCCAATCAAATAACAGAGGTCACATGACTACCTAAGGTTGTGTGCTCTGCAGATCAGGCACTACTGAAAACTATTTCGCAACAAATAGCGTTTTCAGTGGCTAGCGAGAACTTCTATAACTAATTGGCATTCAGTTTAACACGTAGGCTTTCGCGACGAATAGCATCCATAATATAGGTTTTTTGGGTTAGATCGCGTAAATAATTGCCATTGCTGTACCAGGTTGCCAAAGCCTATCTCGGTGAATGCGTTGGCAGTGGCGAAGAATGCAACTGCCGTAAAACTGCCCCAGGGTATCACGGGCCTTAACACACACACACAAGCAAGTATACCATTGCGCATGCTTTAACGTGTGCGCACGTACGCAGACACACGGGCAGACAAATGCACGTGTGTGTCAATCGCGCCCTCCGGCGTGCATCGGGTGGGGGCTGTCGTATGTGACCGTTAAAGCTGCAGCAGTGCGCGTGAGGCCGTCCGTTAAGGGCGTCATGTGACCGTTGTTGCCATTAGTGCATGCCGGACAGTTAAGGGGGTTAAAGATCTGAGTGCTGCGCGTTTGCCCGTCCTTTGTTTCGGTGATACCTGACTTGGCCTTGCCTGCGGCGGCACGTCTGGACTCTGAGCGGAAACACAAATGACGACAGAGGGACGACGGTTTAAGCAGGGGGGGTGGCGGGTAAAGGGCACGGCGGGGGGGTAGACGGGCACAGAAACTAGCCCACGGGTGGCGTTAAGGGGAGAGGTTTCCAAACTAACCGTGTCGCAACACATCGATTCTTACGCTCGCGACGCACGAATCGCAATGTGAGAAGCGATTAATTATGACATGCCAATTTTGCTCGGTTGTACTTGGGTTAATAGAGCAGACAACATAGTACCAATCGGACGTAAACAAAAAATAATTAATGAACTGAATTGTGACGCGGAAACAGGATAATTCATTCAAAATGTCTGGGGGGGGGAAGGGCAGCAGTGAAATAATACATGCCCAGTGTAACCGCGCTTGCGCTCTGCCGACCTGCTTGGCCCATGCCGGCTTGTCTGGGCAGCTCTTCCCCTCCAAGTAGTGGTACTGCGCCGCCGCCGCCGCCGCTTGCTGCCTCTGCCTGTCGGGCCCGGGGGCAGCGGCAACGCGCTGCTGCTCTGCTTGCTGCTGCTTCTGCAGGGACAGTAGATAGCGCTGTTCTTGTTTGAGTTGCTGCTGCAGCAACTGGGCCTGGCGCTCCTCCTGCTCAAGCTCGGGGGGCTCGTCCGTCTGCTTGCGCTTGTGCTCCCGCTGCCGGTGCAGCCAAGACAAACACAGAGGGGGCGGGGGACAGACAGCCCTCGGCGCCGTTACTCGGTGGAAGCGGCCGGCGTAAGGCTCGCCGTTGGAAAGCGCAAGCGAGCGGCGATTGCTATCGGGGGCAAGAAGAAGTGGCTCACAGCTGCCACCTCTCAAAAAACAACCGCAGAGTTGCTGCCCTGGTGAACAGGTCGCGTGGCCGGTGACAAGATTTCAGTTGCCTCCTGTCTGTCCAGCCACTGTCACACTTCTGCACGAAAAGGAGGTTTTGTACCTCGGTAAAAAACGTTTTTGGGAGTCGTTGCCAGTATCCACAGATGTCTTCTTAACCGTTACGTTAGAATGATCCTGCAGGGTCACGAACGGAATGCAGAGAAAGCTTGTACCCGTGGCCTGACACCTGACTCGCCCTGCCCACTACCCACAATCCCTCAGTACTTACTAGTACAGCCAGATCACAATGGCAATGGTAAGTTCTCAACACAACAGACCTCTTTATGAAGCACGAAATATTTAAGTGGAGGGAGGGAGGTGAAAAAAGGTGACTCGACACAGACAACTGCCTGGTGCCATTGCAAGAAGCAGAAAAGCACAAAAATACCTTGGCACAACAAGCCGGTGGTGCCATGTAAGATGAGTGCGGTAGAAAGACCCCGGGCTATAGAACAACCAGACGTGTGCATGCTCGAAGGCGTAGCATTGAGGCACCCTGTTCATGCGGTTGATCGATCTGGATGGCTCGGCCCATTGGCACGTGATCCGACTAAGGATTGACTCCAGGAGGGGAAGAGACGAGTACTAGAGAGAGTTCTGTCCCTTCAGTGGCGAAGGTCGCTCTATGGAACCACCGGTGGCTCCCGCTCTGGGAACGCGAGCCAGGGGTAGAATGTCCCAGGGGAAGCTCCCAGCGTCTTGCTCGGACTTCTCCCGAGGACACCTCCGAGCCCAGGCCACGAATCAAGACGACGAACCCAAAGGTCGTGCCCTGCATCTCTTGCGACCCGGGCATGTAAACCTGGTGCAGCTCCGACTGGACACAGCCTGGTCCATCAACGCGCGTAGCTGTGCCCCGCCAAACCGTGTCCAATGGCCGCGGGTCACCGCGTTTGTCACGAACGACGAACCCTCGGGAGGTGGAAACTTCAAGTGGCGCGGGCGCTTGGCCGTTCCTGTTTGGAGACTTCTCCTGCGCTTGCGAGCGCAGTGATGGACAAGGCAGGCCCCGGGAAGGTCACTTCGGGAGGCGCGCACGTGGAGGAGTGGATGGCGCGGCCCCAAGGGCACCGGTGTACCTTGGCGGAGCGTCAGCACTGTTGCGGGAGGAGATCGGCTGGCGAGGTGGGAAGGCTGTCATCGTGGCTGCGAGGAGCTCGCAAACTGCACGGTGCTCCGGAGGTGACGGACTGCATGCGCCCGAACGCACCCCCATCGGCGTTTGGGTGGTGGCTGGGCCGGCAACAACAGGCGCTCTTCTGGTACGGGGTGGCCCATGTGGCCACATCTCTGACTGTGGTCGGGCGAGGCTGGCTTTACCAACATTCGAATCCGCGGGCCGCACGACGAGAGGATACATCCACTCCGAGTTCCGCGTGCTTAGAAGCGGACGGAGCGGCGGTGTCCTCTCGCTGCTACTGCGACTGCAGCCACAACCGCGCCAGCCACAAGTTCGCAGACTGGCAGACAACGGTGCCTCCCGTACTGCGGGAGGGCGCCAGGACCCGGGTCTTGCGCTTTTCACGGGCTCTTCCAAGACGGGCCCTGTCTTGACACCGGTCACTCCTTCGCAGCGTTGCCAGGTGAGCCTAGTCTGGTTCACCTCTCGCTCCGTGAAACACGCCGGAGGCAATGAGGACAAGCGTCCATTTCGTGGCCGGTCCCCAGGCAGTTACAGTAGCAAATGGGTGTCCGACCTCTGCAGGTCGGTGCCAAAAGAGCAGCGCCTGCGTGCACGCTTGGGCCCCATGGCCGCTATTATTTATTTAGTAAGGATGCCGCATGTTCATGGTGCTGGTTGACGTTGCGTTCAAGTGGAGTGCATCGTGAACACCACCCGATAAGAAAGGTGTTGCCAATTTTAAAATGAGGTTAAATGTGTATTTTATAATCTCGTTATATATTTTGAAGTGTACACATTTACTATTGCGCACCTTAAATTGGTATGATGTAAAGCCACGTTTGCTTGTGAAGCGCTCCACGACCATTTTATTGTGAAGGGCGCCGTATTCAGTAAAGTTGATTGAGAAGAAAAATAAAAAAATGGCAGTGAAAAAGAGGGAAAAGAGAGATCAAAGTTACCATACAACTCCAGATGAATGTCTGTCAACAACATTTCTACAACTTTTATTAATTTAATTTGCCTGAGCTGCGAAGGTGGCTCAAGCCTCTGCTGCACCACGCTCAATGCAGCGATGACCGCCGAGGGATTGTGGGTAGTGGGCGGGGTGAAGTTAGGCGGCTGGCGCAGACATTTAGTGCCCACTCCCTAAAGACTTCTCTCCATCACACGTTCGTGTAACATTCTGACCTGCCCCTACTAGACATCTGTGAAAAAGAGCTTCATAGTTCATCGGATTCCTCCGGTATACATAAAAAATTAGGATTCTTCTCCGAATTCTGACTCTGCTTGATAAAAGCTAACGTAACGGTTAAGAGGATATCCGTGGATGCTGGCAACGACGACCAAAAACAAAGATGGGTCCCCATGCTCTTTTGCTTATTGACATTTCCACCCCCTGCGATGATTTACGCTCACACACCAAGAGGACGGTGGGGGGGGGAAATGTCTATATCACAAACATGCGCCCCAAGGCTGCGTTTGTAAGGGCATGAGATGCGCAAGTTAATATCAGACGTTTATAATTGTGAATAAAAGAAAACCATACAAACGAGCTAATGAGCAGGCGAGGTGTGGAGAAGAATGGAAAGTTAATTGGAGTTACATGGAAAAAAGGAGCAACGTAGATGCTTTAAAAATGCCAATAAAATATTTTTTTTTTACGATTCAGAGGTTGCCAATTGCAAATGGTCACAAAAAAGGAGAAAATACAGGAGCTTTCTGAACAGCACTTGGGTATTGTGATGCTGCCATGAACGTTATTTTGCACACAGCACTTGGCCATTTCAACAAAAAATATTTTATGGACTTTTTGTTTGCGGAAGTCAGAAAGAAATTGAAGGAAAGCAGTGAAGTGGTAGGTAGGAGGCGCTGGATAGATCCGACCACCGTTACCAAAAGCAAAGCCTGTTCCTGGAGCAGCTGCTGCTGTAGCATCTCTAACTGCCTGTGCTCCTCCTCTAACTGCTGTCGGATGTGATCCTGAGGGTCGACACACAGGGGCGATCACAGCAGCGACACACGGTCAACGGCTCACTCACTCGCCGACTCGCTCGATTCAACGGTACAGGCCTGGCAGCCCACCTGAGATCACTTCACTTTACACACGCTTTCATTGTTTTTCATATACCGAGGACGACGGAAGTGGCGTGGCGACTCCGTGGTGGCGAGATGTTAACTACCTCGCCTGGTATACAGGAGGTCGTGGGTTTGATCCCGATCCTGAAGCCTGTATATTTGGAGTTTGCATGTTCTCTCACCCCGTAGTCACTGGATTTTTCTCCGGGTCCTCCAGTTTTTCCCTCCACATTTAGAATCATGAATTTAGAGTATTTGGCTGCTATAAATTTCCACGTGATCAGCCACTTTGTTGAGCTATCATTTGTGATAGCCAGGACGCTTCTGAAAAAGAGCTATAAAAGCTCAGGGGGCCTCACCTGGTAAAATAAAACATTGATTATACTTTTTACTTTTAAATAGTTACAATTCTGCTCGGTTTAAAATCATCATTATTCGTAGGCCATGTTCAAGACAAGTGTACACACAAACCCACACACATTCACAAATACCAAAGATCCTCTGGGAAACGACAAACAAGAGAGTCTTCCGAGGTGGCTCGCCCTTCGAGACACGCGCACATGGGCAAGGGGCGGGCACCTGCTGCTCGCGCTCCGCCTGCCGCCGCCGCTCCTCCTCCGCATCCGCGCGCAACCTCTGCTGCTGCTGCTGCTGGCCGTGTTCCAAACCCGGTTCCGGGTTCCGTCTCCGCAGCTCCTTCTCCTGCAGCCGGGACTGCTCGCGTGCCCGCTTCTGCTTCTGCGAGGGGCACAGCGACGGCGGCGGCGTGATTAGCGGAGCGGTAAAGCTGGGGCACATTGGCCGAGGTAATATAAAAATGATAATCGGCCACTTGCTCAGCCGATGCTAGGACCCCGTCTCCATCACGGTGCAGTGGTTGGCATTGGCTTTGTAAATGGCGAGCTGCTGATCAGATCAACGCTCCCCGCACACACGCTTTCGAGTGGGAGAGGTGCCTCTGTGGATGTGTAGGCTTTGACTTTAACATAGCCATGTCTGTGAGCAGTCACAAGCTAATCACTCAGCTATTTCAATGCTAAATTATCCTGTTTGATTTGTACTAGGTGCCTCTGTGGATGTGTAGGCTTTGACTTTAACATAGCTATTTCTATGACCAGTCACAAGCTAATCACTCAGCTATTTCAATGCTAAATTATCCTGTTTGATATGTAAACCCCTTTGTCAAGGTGCCTCACTTCTCTAAAGCAGCTTAAAAGACGCTACAAATCTTAACAACGTTCATTGAAGCTCTGTCGTCCCGACAGGTCTGTTCCTTTCACCTGAAGAAGGCCACTTGTGTTGTAGCCGAAACGTCGTGAGAATTTTGTGTAATTTTATTTGATCATTTTATTATTTTATTCTCATTCTACGTGACTTTACCGAAAGAACCAAAGAAGAGGTCTTCTTGTTTAACTTTTTTATCTTGATAATTACAGATATCTTAACAAGCAATTTTACTCTTGAGGATAGAGTCTTAAACGGTAGACGAGGCCTACTAATAGAGGCAGATCCTGCACCTCGACTAGTTTGCCTACCGAGTTGACTGCCTCCGACCTGGCCAAACGTACGTGAACCACTGACGTCAGGGATTGTATTTTTTGTAAACACCGACATCCTGAACTATCGCTCTAGATAAAAACATGACCTGGACGCCAATATTGACATCTTATAGTCACTGTCGCACACCTCGAGGCGAGAAACAATGTAACAATTACGTTTTTCTACTTTTATTTTACCAGGTAAGGTCCACTGAGCTATACAGCTCTTTTGCAGAAGCGACCTGGCCACAAATGAAAGCTGAAAATAGTGTCTTATTATGATGAAATCTTTAGCAGGCAAATAATCTAAACGTGACATTGATTCTAAATGTGGAGGGAAAAACCGGAGGAACTGGAGACAAATCCACGCGACTACGGGGAGAAGAGACACGCAAACTCCAAATATACAACAGCAGGCGTTAGGGTCGGGATCGAATCCACGACCTCCTGCATACCAAGGGGAGGAGAGTCAACATCTTCTAGTCACCGCGACCTCACCTCCTCCATCTGCCGCCGCTGCTGCCGCTGGTACTCGATACGCTTCTGGCGCTCGGCCAGCAGGTGCTGCTTGCGGCCGTCGTTCTCGCTTTGCTGCTGTCGCGCCAGCATCTCCAGCTGCCGGCGCTGCACCTCGGCTGCCTCTCGCCCGTCTCCGCGCTGCTGCAGGCGCAGGAAGTCGCGCCGCAGCGTCGACTCGCCGGCGACGTTCACGATCGAGCTGGCACACCGCGCGCCATGACAGATCACCAAGTTAGCGAGTACACGCTCACCAAACACATTTTTTTTTTTTACCTGCTAAGGTCCACCGAGCTGTGCAGATCTCTTTCAGAGCCCTGGCAATCACAAATGATAGCTCAACGAAGCGGCTAATCATGTGGACATCTACGGCAGCCAAATACTCGAAACCCACGATCCTAAATGTGGAGGGAAAACCGGAAGATTCGGAGAGAAATCCTCGCGACCACGGGGAGAGAGACACGCAAACTCCAAATATACAGCAGCAGGCGTCAGGGACCGCTCACCTCGGCTCTCCTTCCTGATTTTGCGCCTCCTCGTCCTCCTCCTCGCTCCCACTGTACTCGTACTCCGTCTCGTCTGTCGAGAGACCACGACAACAAACCAGCAGAGACGTGCACTAATATATTGTTTTGGTCATGCCAGTCTGGAGTTGAAGTTAAATGGCTGAGAACACAAAACATTCAAGACAACAATTTTGGGGTATATACCGGCTAGGCCTCGGCAAGGTAAGGTAATTTACCCTTTTTACCGGGTAAAAGGGTAAAGGTGTCGACATGCCAAAGGGTAAGGCAGAGGGTAGGGTAAAGGTAGCACAGAAGAATTACCTGGTAGGGTAAAGGTAGCACAAAGTATTATCCGGTAAATACGGTACCTTGTTTACCGCTAAAAGCTCCGTGGCGCAGTCCGTGGCCTCCATTTAATAAGTAATATATATGAAAAAACTTTTTAAAAAACACGCTTTAATGAAATGTACCATACGAGTAATGGCAGAACTCCACGACTCCAGGAAGTGGCCCCGAAGCTTGCCATAACGTAAGGGACCGTGGCCAACTACAGCCAACGTCAGTTGACCGTGGACAGTAAAGACCCAAGCCGAAACATAACATATAAAAAAGAATGTTAAAATGTTGTTTTAATGATAGAATATAGTATTGTCATCAGTATGACATAAGTATACCAAGTTTGCAGTTGATACCACATTGGGAAGTGGGTTAAAATTGAGTTACAAGATTTGAGGATACAACAACGACGACAACAGACAGAGCGAGTTAAAAGAAAGCGCGTAAAATTGGAATCATGGAGAGTTTTCTATGTGAATAAAGCGCTCTACCTAGCATTTACCTGTTATAAACCTTTTTCATGTGTAGTACCCCAGTAATTACCCTGTAATCGGGTAATTTGTATGGGGTAAGAGTAAAAGGTAGGGAAAAGGTAGGGTCGTTGTTTTTACCTTTTACATTACCTTGGCCAAGGCCTAATACTGGCACATGTTCCTATAAACGCAAGGGTAAAGGATATAAGTTTTCATCAACCTAAATGTCCCACAGTTAAGAAGGAGCATATACCAAAACGTCATCCTCGCAGCAGCTGGCCATCGAACAAAGACTGTCACTGCATTGCGCACTTTCGGATGCGCGTCTGTGACTGTCTGGAACGCTCTTCCACCCAATATTAGGAAGTCACTAGAGCTATGCACTTTTAAATCACCTAGATTGAAAACTAATTTCTTTCTAACTGCTTTTTGTGTTTAGTTTGTTGTCCTTCCCTCGCACCTCCGATTAGCATGCACGGTTGGCTACGTACGGTGCGAAAGACGTTCAACGTACATAAGTACATATGCTATACGATAAATAATCCATTCGTATCTCCCGCAGAGCAGTGCCAACCCTTTGTGTGAGAGAACAACCCATGGAAACGGATGCCAGTTTCCTAAGAGACCTCATCAAGTGACCTCTGGTTCACACAATAGTGGGCAGCTCTTTCCTGTCCATTCCACCGAATTAAAATAATGTTCGTCACTTGATCGATAAACCCATATTTAATTTATGGAGCTGGAATTTATCCAAAACGCACCCAAATTATTTGAGCTGGAATTCATCCAAATCAACTGGTGGTTTATTTGTGCAGTTAGCGGTGGGCGGGCTGAGATCATCTACACAGAGTATACGGTTCAATCACAGGCAGCGGCTGCCTGGATTACAATACAGGATCTCAACCCCCAGAACCCCAGCTGTGCCAGCTCGGCGCTTTGACCTCCGGACTACCAGGCCCAGCTGAAGAAGATGGTGAATGCATTCATTATTTAATTCCATCGCGTGCATCTGTACGTGTTGCTTTATGCGACTGGCTAATGCCGCCGTGGGACGCACCTTTCTCCCCGCGCTTCTTGCGCGTGCGGTCGATGTGGTCCTTGAGCTGGATGCGGACCTGCCGCTCGTTGGGTTGCTCGCGGATGAAGGGGTGCTTCAGCAGCTGCTCGGTCGGCAGGCGCTGCAGGTAGTTCTTCACCAGGCAGCTCTCCGCGAAACTCAAGAATCGCTTGGACCTGCACGAGTCAGGGACGGGGCGAAGCCCAGGTTCGGCACGAAGGACCGAGGCAGAGAAGCAACCCGAGACAACCCAAGTAAGCTCGACAACAACCCGAGAAAAGCCAACTAATGGCCTCAACCAACCAACTGGACCAGACCCAACCACAGACAATGAATGCAACACACTGCAAGGTGCAATTCAACCAGCCCAGCCCAACCAATAGCTTTAATCAACTTAGCGCAATCGACATAGCTCAGTCAAGCCAGAGATAACATGCCGGCACAAACAACGCAGCCCAGTGGGCCTTACCTGGTAAAATAAAAAAATAGATTTAATAGTTTATAGTAAGAACATTTTTTTTCTACTTTTATAGACAAAATGAAACCACCCCCCATAAAATGTCCTTAGAATTTTAAAGGGAGAACAATCGATTCCTGGCTGACGAGACATTCCGCACATTAAGGAAGCATTCGGCCACTTTGTAATCGTCAATCTTTTCTCCATCAGTGGCAGCATCGGCAGCACTCACCACTTCTTGGATTTGAGCCTGGGCGGCGGGTTCCGTGGGATCAGGAAGAGAGCCCTCATTGGGTGCATGTCGCACAAGGCTGCAGCACACAACGCACGGCGCGCACACCAATGAACCATGAGAGGCGCGCTCACCTCGCACCAGTGCTGTGTGGGAGTGTCAGGGTGTGTATGTGCAATTTTATTGAGAGACTGTGCGTTGCCTTGGTGTGGTCTGGGGTTGTTGTTGTTTTGCTGCCTTGCTCAAGCTTGCAGTTAGTACTGAAAAATCGGCAGTAATGAATGTACTTGTGTAATTTTGTACCTAGATAATTTTTACGACTTACCTTTTCTCTATTTTGCACTCCTATCATGCTTTGTATTGTGGACATCTGTGAAAAAGAGCCTCACAGCTCATCGGATTCCTCCAGGACAAATACAAATTCTCATTATGATGTGCGTAAAGATCTGCCTCTGTGGAGGAGGCTTGTGAAGGACGCTACTGGGCAGTTTGAGGCAGTCGCCCTCCAGAGGAGCGACGCTCACAACAACGAGCGGAGGGCCACTCAGCTAAAATAGACCAAGTTGGCACAGTAGGAGGCACAGGTGGTGCATCTGCCAGTCATCTCAGTCATGAAACCCACGGCACCTGGTTCTGTCCTGTCACCTCCTGCCAGCAAGTCTTAAACACTTCATGTATCCTCAAAGTGCACCTAGCCTGGCACAACCGCCATGGTGACGTTACCGCCAATTAGTGGTGAATGGTGGCCGTTATTGTTGGACGTGTGTGGGTCTTTTTAATGGTTGTCTGGGTGTGTCTGTGGGTGCAGTGTCAGTTTTAGTAATTGCTCGCTTGCCCCACGGTCCAGAAGGATAAACGTGGGAATCTTTGTGCGTTGTGCAAGCCATATCATATACTCTTATTTCAAGAGCAGACCACACTGTGCCTATTCTGGCCTTGTGTAGAGATTTATTCACGGTCAATAAGGATGTGCCTTCCAGAACGCTCAAAGACTTCTGCTGTGCATTACTCCAGTCTATAAAACACGCACGCATAAGTGGTGTGTGGTGTATTTAACAGCTCGCCTGGCGCTGGAAACAATGACACGACACACATGGCTGATATTATCGAATTAGAGACGTCATTGTAACAAGGCCGAAAAAATACGTCGTCAGTCAAACAGCTGGGCCCTTCCTGCAGTTGGCCCTGGACACAGGGCCCACGACGTCAACCGTCAACCCAGGTCGGTCGGTAACTTAAAGTCCGTTAGACAACATCACACATAGCCAGGTGGCTCAAATTCATTCCAGCCACGTGAAGGTTTTTTTCTTCTCGAATGACTGTTTTCTAACAAAACCCAATGCGCAACTCTACTCGAAAAGCAATCTCAGAGGGTCGGCGGTTCCCCCCCCCCCACCAAACAAAACGCCGACACAAAGGGGGCAATTATATTATTGGTGCTTCTGGCCGAGTTTTCATCATTTAGCGTCGCTCTCTGTGCCCTTGCGTCTCGCTGCTGACCATGTCACGAGGCAGTCCACGAGAACAATGCACAATCGACTGCCATTGAAAGCTGCAGAATAAGTCCTAAATCATCACTAGCTTCTTGCAAAACAATGCCATGTAACAAAAAACAACTATTACCATTTAGTTGTTGGTTGGTCTGTTAATAAGTCTATTTTGCACTTTAGCTTGGTTACATTTGTACGAGCAATGACTAAAGCTTAAACATGTGAGCGCCAGCTGTGTCTGGTTGAGTGACATCTAAATTACAGACATGTGCACGGACACGGCCACATGAAAAGAAAATCACTGGACACGTGGGAATAAAGAGCCTTCACATCGCAGCACTGACACGCACACAGTAGGACTGACGCCGTGTCGAACCGCGTGGGAAATACCAGCGACAAAAACACAAGGCTGGAACACCAGTTGCGTTCTTTGCGAGAAGTGTGGCTAGGCCAGGGCTTGAGTGAAACGATAAACGTGCCACAGCAAGAACATTTGCTGTGGTTTTCACACCTGATGATGATTGCTTGTGTTGCAGTCGAAACGTCGTGATAATTTTATTGTTTTATATTTTTATTATTTTATTGTTTCCCTTCTACGTGACTTTACCAAAAGAACCAAGAATATAAATCCCTGCAGTCACGAAACTTTAAATAAAAAATTAAGTCCAACTGTTCAGTTTGCCAGTCATCTGATGAAAACTGCTCTTTGGTAGAGCAGACAGAAAAACGCTGCCCCCCTCATTGTCTGCAGCAGAGGTCACTTGATGGGAATTCAGAGGTAGCTCTGTTAAACACACTTCTGTGGCCCGTTCCCCAAAAACAAAGGGTTGCACTGCTCTAACAGAGATCCAATGGACACTCTCTTGGCATGACACTGATTGAACATTAGGGATAAAATTGGTTATAAAATAACAACTTTTTTTTATAGGAATTGTTCAGATATTGGCGATTTACTCACGTGGGGCGCCTTCTGCCATCTCTATCGCGGTGACTCCGAGGGACCACAAATCGCTCTGCGGCAGAGACATCGGCACGAGGAGATTAATCGGCGATGCGAAACCGAGACGTGTGCACCGACACCACCGCACGCTCGTTAATTATGCGCAATGCAAACTCGGCAATCTCGTGAAAAAACATATCAGAGTGCTCCAGTTCACATGCGCCAAAAGCCTAGTGTGCTGTAGCGAACAGTATATTAAAGATGCGGAACGGACTTCCAATGAGGATCACGTCAAAGAACAGGGCACTGACAACCACCGGTCGCCAATGTAATCGATAGGCAATTCATAATATTAGATGTGAAGTATACATAAAACTATCACTGAAGACAGGCAGTCTCCAGTTTACGACGATCCACATTTACGATGCTTATTTAACGTCACCATGGATAGATTTACGATGCGGAAACTTGATTTACGACGCGTCTTCCGACACCTCAGAACACATTAGAATAGTCAGTCTGGTTTCCGACGTGACTTGGCGTGGAGCTTTTGTTATTCTCAAGTGTTGCTGAGGATGTTTACCTTATGAACTCTGTTAGATACAGCCGATAAAAGGAAAAACAGTGGTCCGATTTACGATGATCGGATTTATGACAAGGTTTCCAGGAACACGTTCTCACGTCGTATAAGCGAGGACCGCCTGTGTTAGGATGCTTTTGAAAGAAGTATCCAACATTGGGATATTTGGCCAATTCCATCGATGAGTGTTTGGCACGGGGAAAGAAACTTGAGAAGCTGGAGAAAACCCACACCGATATAAGATAACAAAGCTATAATTGGTATGTATGTAGAACTTATTTTGCAGCGTACGTAGCCAACCGTGCTAATCGGAGGTGTGGGGGAAGGACAACAAACTAAACACAATAATAACAAGAAATCAAGAATCCATTACTGATACGCATTTGTTAAAGCAAAGGACACGGACCACTACCGATCAGCACGTGTTAAAGCATAGGACATTGAGTCCCATGTGTTAAGGGATAGATAGATGTAAACACAGACCATCGATTACCCCCCCTGCCACCACCGCGTCCACCAGCCAGGTGAATATCCCACCACCAAACAAAACACCACGGGGGCATCGTTCAGTTTGTTGCACGACGTACTCTGTAGTCGTAGGTGGCGTCTGGGTTCTCGTCGCAGGCGATCACCTCGGGCGCCATCCAGTAGGGCGTCCCGATGAACGTGTTCCTGCGGCCGACCGTGCGGTCCAGCTGAGCGCTCACGCCAAAATCGACTGAGCGAGGAAGAGGGATACAAGGGGGGTGGCGGAGGTGGCGGCGTGGGAGGAGAGGCCGAGAGAGACAGGGGGTGGAGATGAAGGCGAGGGTAAAGTCAGTTTAACATGTAGTAGTCTGCTTTTGCAACCAATATTATCCATGGGCGGTTTTAATTGGGTTAGATCGCATAAATGTCGTTAAACTCGTCACCACCCGACACAGCCAATTAGTAAGGTTTGTCACCTAAACAAAACGTGGCAATTAGTTACTAGTTCAGGACGTTTACAATTCAAGTACTGCGACGTTTCGCCGGTAAAGTATGGGTGGAGCGCAGGCAGCATTGGTGGTCACAGCCATTCAGGCTCTCGGGCGAGTTCATTCTCGGGGACTCGGCGACTTCTGCGTGGCGCAGGCGGTATGTACGTATTAAAAGAAGGCTGTGTCAGCAATCCCCTGGCAGACGCTCGCTCGCTCGCTCACTCACTCATTCATTCATTTTCAAGTGCGGGACTTTATTTGCTGGGTTGGCAGGATGTCACATCCCTCGAGCGGCCTAAGTGCCACTCCGTGTAAAAATACAACATGGAAAAAACCAGGCCGCACAGCCCTAAACGTACGCGGTGGTGACCTTTTGAGCTTGCGTTCTCGTGTGGGTGCACCTGCAGCTGAAATTGTGCACGCGTTCGTGTGTGTTCACCAACTCCTATGACTCACCAGCCCTTACAAGTGCTTGTTTGGCATGCAGACTGAATAAATTGTCTTTGTTGTGCATTATTGTACAAGAAGTGGTGGTGCAGTGGTTTGCGCACGGACACCAGTCACATGGGTTTAATTTCTAACAATGGAAAATCAGTGGCAAGTGATCACTTTCACGCATTGTGATGCTCACGCGAGGCTTCCAAGGCCGATTCAATGACGCTGCTCATTCTCAGTGCGTGTAAGGGAACAAGTTCACATGTGCATGTCAATGGGGATATGTGTGTGTGTGTGGGGAGTGGTCGTGCAGTGGTTAGCACGCTGCGCTGTCAATCCAGCACGCCGGGTTAGATTCCCGCTCACGACCAACACCAGTTACGATTAACTGAACGGATCCTGTCCCTCCACCAGGTCGACTCAGCCTCAAATGAGTACCTGGTGTGGTGTGTAAATATCGCCACTAGGGACACAAAGGCAGCTGGGAGTAGTGTTAGCCACCCACCCTCTTCGTGCACCGTGTTGGCCTTCATTAGGTACTCGCGAACAGCACCAGCCACAACAGTTTGGTAAGTATATATGGGGGATGTTTGTCTTTGTGTGGCAATAGCAAAATGGTATTTGTGAATGCCCATCATGTGGTTATACTGTCATCCTGTTTGTATGCACGTGTACACTTGCATTTGTTCCCATTGCTCATCAATTTTCTTCGGATGAATTAATGGGTTCGCCAGGAATCAATACGTTGCTAAAAACACACCTCCTACTCTGCGGCAATGTTCAATAAAGTGCACTTAAAGAACGCCGCACGGAAATGTAACAAACAAGCCAAGGTTTATGGTTCATCATTTTATAATTAACCAAAACTCCAGATATCAATCCGCCTTGGCAAAATTCGAAGCGATGGGAATGTTAAACCGACCGCCCTCGACGGCAAACTTCAACGGCAGCAAACGTTGAACGTGACGGGCAAATAGCGACAGCAAATTCCCCCAGAAGCAAGCCACAGCTACGGGCGAGGGGTGGCGAGCGAGCGGGTAGTGGGGGGGGGGGGTGGCTCACCCAGTTTGACTTCGGCATTCTCGGTGAGCAGCACGTTCTGTCCCTTGATGTCACGGTGGATGACCCGGTGGGCGTGCAGGTGGGACAGGCCCTGCGCGGTCGAGACGCACGCACGCACACACGGCGCCACGACGCCGGTGAACTGGCGAGGTCGGGGAGCGCGGTCGAACGTTGCGAAAATTCGTCATGTGCGGTGCGAGTGGATTTGCGATTTGTGCGGAAGGAAAGCAGTAGCTTTTTGATTTTTTCGGTGATTTGACAATTGGTCTTGATCGTCAAGAGGTCGTGAATATGAAAACTATTTTTTCATTTTACCAGGTAAGGTCCACCGAGCTGTAAAGCTCTTTTTTAGAAGCGACCTGGGCATAAATGACAGCTCAACGAAGTGGCTAATCATGGATAATCATGTGGACATTTATTGCAAAACGCATGTTTTAAATGTGGCGTAATAACTAACTGTAAGGTTTACATATTTATACAGGACGGTCCATTTATAGATGCTCCACTAAAACAATAATCCAAAGATAATGCAATCACCTGTTCGGATGGAAGAAGATCATTATATATTAGTGGGGTATCTGTAAATGGATTACCCTGCCGACAAAAGTATTTGTCATTGAGCATAAAATGTATTTTAATTACAAAATAAGACTTTAATCTGGCTTTAAATAAAGTCTTTGTAAATATGTATGGTCAACATAACGGGCCTGCTGGTAGGAGACGGCTCAGCATGACGACTGTTGTCTATGGATGAAGAGAGGCCGAAATAATGGCCATGAGGGATGATTGAGAACCCGTGGCACCACAGTGCAGTGATGAATTATCTCGAGCACTGCTGGGAGTGCGGAGAATTGCCAAAAAGGGGCTGTGTAATATTGCCAATGTGCTAACAGACCCAACTTATTATTAACATGGGTAGGACATGTGTGCAGGATGGAGGAGGGCAGGTTACGGAGACAGGCACTGGAGTGGCACCCAGAGGTTTGTGACCAAAGGGAAGACCCAAAGCCAGATGGTGTCCATGAGGGATTGCGAGAGTGGTGCTTGAAAGATATGTCAAGTGCATAACAAGGAGAAAACCTAAAAGCAGATGGTAGTTATGTACGCTGAACTTCTTTCGGACCATACGTAGCCAAGTGTTAATCAGGTTCCGGGGGAAGGACAACAAACTAAACACCGATGATGACAAGACTAAGCAGCGGTCCTTGAAGGACGCATTAACTTTGTACCAAGGGGCGTTTAGTTTTTAATGCGGTCTAGCAGAAAGCGTTGGCGGTGCGTGACGACCTCTCGAGAGACAACAGAGGGAAGTGAGGTTCAGTGAGAACTTGGTCTCAAACCCGCCGGAGAGGCCCATATTCTATTTTATTATTATTGTTGTGGTAAGAACACGAGTCCGGTACAACGCGCCGATGGTTTCTGCAGAAGGTAACGGAAAAAACTGCAAGGGGTGGGGCTATCAGTATTTCATAGCCATATATAAGTTGGTCTGGTAGGCTCGATGCCCAAACCTATGGGCACAAGGGCCCATATTTGTTAGTCACGGCTTGGCTCTTGAAAGTAACTTGCTGACCCTCCTCTGCTGGACATCTGTAAAAAAGAGCTTTATAAATCGGATTCTTCCAGGATTATAATTAAAGATTCTTATTCGGTATTCTGAAGTGAGCCGGCTCAAAGCCGTGCTTAACTTGAGCCGACACTCAGCATAGTCCCAAGCCACGCTCAGGATTTCCGTGAGCCGAGCCTAGGCCACACCATGGCCGAGTTGATCGTGCGTCTTTGAAACCAACATTTCAGTTCAGTTTAATTGATTAGGTATAGCCCTGTAGCGGCTCAAGACCAAGCCAAGTCATGTTAGAGGACGAGCTGTAGCAGAGTCGTGACTAATATCGCCTGGTATACAGGAGGTCAGGGGTTCGATGACGAACATGACGTTTGTATATATGGAATTTGCATCTTCTCCCCGTGGTCTCGTGTATTTTTTTTCCTCCGGGTCCTCCGGTTTTTCCCTCCAGATTTAGAATTTCCACATGATAAGGCGCTTTGTTGAGCTATGATTTGTGGCCAGATCGCTTCTGTAATGTAAGTTAATGCCTCAGTGGGCTTTACCTGGTAAGATGAGTAATTTAGTTTTACTTGCATATTTTTAAAGTTATTTGTTTACCTTTCCTATACTTTTCACTCCTGTTGTGTTTGTTGTTGTAACGTTCTGACCCGCCCCTACTGGACATCTGTGAAAAAGAGCTTCATAGCTCATGGGATTCCTCCAGTATAATTAAATATTCCGATTCCGATTCTGAACAATATGGCACTAAGAGTTCCGTCTCTCGAGGCGGGGGGGGGAACTTCTGTCGGTGGCACCGTGCTGTTACCCGCAGGATCTCTCTGCAGATGTAGGCGATCCAGTCCTCCTTGAGAGAGTTGCCCTTTGTGTTCTTCACCAGGTCGGTCACAGAGCCCGCGCCGCAGAACTCCATCACCAGCTAAGGGCCGCCGAAAATCGGCAGAAGACAAGAGTGAGCCTCACGCACGCACGCACGCAGAGGCTCCGTGCGGGCGGTTAGAAACGGGTTACGTGCAGGCGGCGGCTGGCCCCGACAACCCTCTCCACATCCACGTTCCGCAACTCCCCAAACGGGAGTTCTCATCGTCAAGATTGACTTGGCGATCGGTGGCATTGGAGGCCGGAAAAAGCCGAGGCTCCACGTGACCGAAGGGCCGACCCCATCTGAACCATGAGCGAATTAAAGCAAAAAAGAATGGACTGCGATATCACAATATCAAACCCCGCAGTATCCTAGAACATTAACTTGTCGGGCATAATAAAAAACAGCTCTTCGCCCTTTGTCAAACAAACTGCGTTATGTGAAAAGGTTATATCGTAGGAATGATGTTTCGTGAAATTTCCAATTTAATAGAGGTTCTGATTTTTAAAATATAATATATACATTCACACATGCTAATATTTGGGCAGTGGCCTTCCTTCTGGGCCTATCCAAATGGCTATTGCACGACTTGATAGAGCGAGCTAGACCAGTGTGCTAAGATGGTGTTCATGGCGAGTGTTTTGTATTTGTGCACGACAACGTAACGTTTATGGAACATCAATCACAACCGCTCGCTTGGCCAGCAGTGTGCATACAACATACTTCAACTACGAGCATTTAGTAGATGGTTGTACAGTCATACCTCGGTATACGACCGCTTTGAAAAACGTTGAATTTTGTATACGTCGTGTTTTGACGAGAAAAAAATGTCTTGGGATACAACGTCTTGCTTGGGATACGACACGTTTGCTAGAACTTGTATGGGTCGGGATGAGTCACCGCGTACCCGCGTATACCCCGTTCACGACTGAAACAAAGCGCCGCTCCTCAGTCTGCCTGTAGATCTCGTTCAGTGCACAACCCTTGCTATAACTCTCCGTGAATTTTCGGTGTTCAAGAAAGAGCATTTTAATATTGTGCACTGTATAACTCTTATACACAAAGCCTGGCAGGAAGTTTCCTACAAGACCAGGAAGCCAAAGTGATGTTACATTTTTATTTTTCAATTTATTTTAATTGATTTTATTTATGCATTTATTTTAATGTATGTATGCATTTTAGTAATAAGTATTGTCTAAATTATGTTATACAACCCAATTAATGTATAATATGCCATATAAAATATCATTTCTTATACTCTGGAACGGATTATTTCCTTTCCCTATATTTCTTATGGGAAAAATTTGTTTGGTAGACGTCGCTTCGGTATAAGTCCTCCTACCTTCTGGAACGAATTAACGACGTATACCAAAGTGTACCACTATTATTACGTCTTAAAGCGAAATACAACCCAAAACAAACACTTCTTTTGCAGCAACACCATCGATTGCATGTTGCGGGCTACCTGACACCAGCCTAAAGCTTTGTCAAAGCACCACGGTGGTGAGATGTTAAATATCTCGCCTGGTATACAGGAGGCAGTAGAGGTTTGATCCCTACCCTAGACGCCTGTATATTTGAAATTTGCATGTTCTCCCAGTGGTCGCGTGGATTTTACCTCTGGTTTTTCCCTCCACATTTTTAATCGACATACTTTTAGAGTATTTGGCTGCTGTACATTTCCACGTGATAAGCCACTTCGCTGAGCTTTGATTTGTGGCCAGGTCGCTTCTGAAAATGAGCTATTTAGCTCAGTGGGCCTTACCTGGTAAAATGTTTTTTTATTAATTTTAGTTTATTAAGGAGTAAAAAGATACTTTCGTGGTTTCACGGTTAATACACTGGACCTGCCACAGTCACCAGTTTAATATCCCCTCAAAGCAGCCGATACCTCCCCCTTGTCTGTCCACTCGGCAGTATAAGGTTTTTTTTTTTACCTTGGCTAAACATCTTGGAAGACGTGGGTGTACCCACACTACTCCACCACACTGACTCACTGTGGTGTTCCTACTTGACAAGCAGACCACCTAGAGGGGTTCTAAAGAGCTCCCCCCCCTCGTCGACGCCCGTCCACCCATAGTGGAGTGACCAGGCAACACCTACTAGATCATAGCATCAAGCTAGTGATGGCAGTCTTGACCGTGAGAGCTGTTGACACATAAACAAAGCTTCAAATTGGTGTAGAACGACAGCTTGAGACACAGGCGAAGTGTGCGTCTACAAGATGAAAACTCCACCTCCCCACCCCCTCAATGCTTTGGACCTCAGCGTTCCCCGCCAGCGCTAAACAGGCGCCAGGCTGCACACCTCACCCAGAGCTGGTCATCGTGTCCCGGAGGGCTCTTCTTGATGAAGGCCCCATAGTAGGTGGCGATGTTGCGGTGGTGCGAGTACTTCTTTAGCATGTTGATCTCCAGCTTTATCTCCTCCTCCTCGTCCTGCCGCCGAGCAGCAACACAAATAACAAGACGAGGTGAGAGGCGCGCGTCACAGCACGGCGTCGCGACAACCAACAGCCCGGTTTGCAGTTACTCTGCTTGTTATATATACAAAAAAAACGCAGGTCTCATCGTCTTATTCCCAATTTATTATGCAATGATGCTATCAGCATCGCAACGTGAGAAGACGTGTACATTCAAAACTCTCCGAGAGCACTGCATAACCCGTCGGGTAAGAAAATGGCCCGTGGAAAGTGATATAGCAGAACTACTTCTGACATCCCCTGCAAGTGACCGCTTATCCACACTGGAGGTGTTGCATTTTCCCCATAGGCACAAATACAGAGATGTTCATCGCATGGCAGTCAAAACCTATTTCTTTATTTTGTAATGCTCAGTGCTAAGACTTTTGCGGAATTAATTTAAAATCCCAATTGAATCCCGCACGTCCTCTTCTAACGCGGTAGATGCATTCCTCAAAAGTGTCGTGGAATGCAAAAACGATTTCCCCATAAAAATCTAACGATAAAATTTGGCGCGATATGATGCGCACACACACGCAAGCAAGATGGCGGGACAAACGACGGAGGTTACGCCGCCACGTTCCTGCTTCATTGCGTGCACTCTTATCACTGTGCCGCTCAGCCGCACAGCTCAAGAAAGTATCCCGTCGACGACCACTCAGAAACAGTGTTGGTTGCGTCACGTGTAATAACGGTGCATGTTCCGCGTTACGACAAGTGTTCGCAAATGGAAGAACGTTATCGTGAAAGTGTTGTGTATGTAGAACTTCTTTCGCACTGTACATAGACAACCACGCTAAGCAGAGGTGTCTGAACACGAGTTAAGAAGCGAGGACCCACCGCAACGTGTATTTCATAAACCCAATTTTACAGATCGTGTAGGTCACTCGTCAGATAATTTTTTTTTACCAAACACGCCACCACGGCCCGACAGGCTGGGCCTTTCCTGTTTAGGGGGGACAATAATCGTGCGAACACTGGCAGCGGTCTTTCGGTGGTTTCCATTTGGATTTTTTTAATGCCAACAGATTTCATCACGTCAGTACACTCAGGGGGAAAGAAATCTCGCTCGTGTGCTGTGCTTATCACCGGCGGATTTTGCTTTTGGTGTGGTGGTGCTGGGGAGGGTTCACTAATTAGAGAGCTTTCGTGAGGTGGTTTAAAAAAATACTAATTTGACATTTTTTGCAAATGCAACAACAATCAGGAAAAAACCCACAGCACATTTATTGGCCAAATGACCATACCAAGCCACGTGCAGGAAGCCTGTCACATAAACAAATATAAAACAAGAAATACATCTCCTACAAATGGCTTACAAAACGCCAAGATTTCAGATGCAGCTGAAGATAGAAGCCCTAATCATGCAGCAACGACAGACAGCCATCAAAGATAATCAAGTTGATGTTACTTATTCACTTGTGTGTCTGCTGCATTGGCAGCCCTGCCACACAGAGACCGGTCATCTCTCTCTTGAACCTCAACTCAAATCACCGTCTGGGTCGTCGGGATTGAAATAATCGTGTCCTCCAGAGGCAGGAATGCGAGCACATGATGCCCGCTCTCGGCCTGCCGACTTTTTTCCTAAAGATGCCATTCTAAAACGCACACATTTCGCCAGTGTTGCAGTCGTTTTTACCCGCTGCGCTTTTCGATTGTCAGCCATGGCCAACGTCAGTCAGTGAAGAGGGACGTACCAATGATTCCGGATGCCGAACGAATGCGTTATAAGGTCGCACTCATTACACACAAAATGCTTGCCACAAATGAACAACAATACCTTGCTGATCTCGTCAAGAAGCATAAACCATCATCACGCGAACTCCGGTCATCCTAACAGCAGGAGCTTTTGGCTGACCATCGAGCAAAGAGGATCACCGCATTGTGCGCTTTCAGATGCGCTTCTTCGGCCGTCTGGAACGCTCTTCCGCTTGATATGAAGAAGCCACTGGAGCTGTTTTTTTTAATCTCGATTGAAAACTCATTTCTTTGGTACTGTTTTTTATGTTTAGTTTGTTGCCCTTCCTCCGCATCTCCGATTAGCGCCGTATGCCTATGTATGGTGCGAAAGAAATTTAGCATACATAATACATCGTGGTTGCGTGTGATATCTGATCCAGTCTGGCACTATGCCCTTCAGCAACGTGCACTGACAAGCATGGTGAATGATAAAAAAACCCATGACAGACCTAGAATCGGGAGGCCTTCACCCAGCAGTGTATTGACAAAGGGCTGGAAATTATTATTATTTTATTATCCGTGTGTTTTTACAATGTTGTTAATGGCACAACAAAACATAAACCGTTAACAGTGAGAATCCAGAGCCTGCACATCTGTACTACATTACCACTTGACGGACTAGTGAGATGTTTTCAGAGAAACACGAATATGCATCACCCAACTCCCATTCTGAACCGCTTGTGTCATCGCTACCAATCACCTCGGTTTACATTTTCTTTTGCCCCGAGGCTCTAAAATGCTGCATAGCAGGATCACACAAAACCAGGGGTGAGAATTCAATAAATATTTAAATATCCGGAACGATTGCACCGAGTGCAAGGCGGTAGATTCCTCCACCGGGCTGAGTCTTGTGACCTCTTGCTGCCGAAGAGCGTCGTACTCGTTCACGCGATAGGATTTTAATCGTGTATCCAGCCCGACCTTCACGACCTGCATCGCGTCAGCAGCAAGGCACTGCTCTATTCCATTCCAGGTAGCACTCCTGTGCTTCCTGGAAGCACAGCCACGAGGAGAGACAACGCAGAAATAATCTTGCCGTATGTGAACAAATCCCTCTTGCCTGTTCAAGGCACTATTCAGCTGCTGAGGCAAGCATTTATTTTCATCCTTTTTTTTACACGCATTTCTGCTTGTCGGCGTTTGCCAAAATCAAACGCACATGCTGTAGCAATTTCAGTTTTGCCCTTTTAGGCAATCGTTTTGTGTGGTGGCTTTGTCCCCGACACAATGGAACTCGCTCAACGCAGGCAACTTGTTTTTGACATATGGGGGTCAAACCTGGACTTGATCAAAAGCAGATCCGCAGAGGAGGTGATGAAGAGACAAGCCAGACAGCCCTCCCTCGTGCCATATCAGAGCAGGACTCATTCAAGGCCCTGTGTGCTTTGTCGTTGGAAAATTGGGTAGCGTTCCCAAATTTTCATACCACTTCCCACTTCATCTACATTCCAGTCAGCCCCACGCCCCAACCACTTAACCCTTTCCTTATAACCGAGACGTCTGCAAGTTGTAGGGTGCGTGTCCTGTCCACCGCTGAAACACGTAACGCGCAAGCGGTTAACGTTTAATTTTATTCAAAGGCATAGCGCCATTGTTTTCAAAACACACATTGTACTGTACTCACTGCAGAGAACCGTAGCGACACGACCGCATTATGATAGTTGGCGCCAAACTGTGCCACACGCCCTCTCGCATGGCCTTGTGGGAGCCTCGGTACGTCTTCTGACCTGAAGACGCACCGATAAAGTTACTTTATTTTAGTTTCACAGTGGTGCGTTATCAGAATGGGAAAGGGTAAACAATCATTACGGTACATTCCTCTTCAGGGAAAGGGTCGCCATGCTTGAGGTGGCTTGTGGATGGTCTGCTGCTCTGCTACTCAATCTGCCCAAATCATGTTTTTGTTCCGATTTTCTTTCATTATTTGAATGCGGTCACTTTGGGTACACTGACCAAGTGCGACACGGTTGCCTTGCCCAACTCGGCAATTGTCAAAGTTTCTCTGGCAAAATCGACCCTCGGGGTCGGCGCACGCCCGAGACAGACCGGTGAAGGAAACCGCGAGGATTTCCGTCGTGTCGCCGGGAGCTCACGAATTCATCCCACGTGTCTCCAGGAGGTGGCAGTTTGCACGCGGCAACGCCGCAAGGCGTCAATGCCCTGGGGTCAAGTAGACTGCTTGGCTGCTGCTCGTGCAAAATGCTGCCTTGCAGTCCACTCCTCGTCAAACCCCGCCAAAGCCACCAACACCGTGGCATCCCAACATCAACGAACGACGATGTGGAGATTGTGAGCACACCGCTGAACTCCTGGATTCGAATGAGAGCGTTGGTCACCCGAGATTAAAACAGGATTCTCGAATTGATCGAGTTGATGGTTTCAGCCCAGCCAACAATGACTGCACAAAAACACCCATCGTATTACTCGATCCAATTCATTTTTCCCCAATGAAAGTCACACCCGAGTCTTTTCCAGGATTGTCCTCATCAGAATATTTGGCCAGTTCCAAATTAAGGAGCGTTTTGCTTGCTGTGGAAAACAAATAGGCAGGAGAAACCACGTGCCAAGTAGGAGACAACACTCAATAGTCTGCACAGATGGGTTCATGCCCCCCAGTATCGAGGCATTAACCCTGTAACAATGTCCCCCCCCCCCCTTGCGATTCAATAACTTTCCACATTTCAGGGTCACGGTTCAAGTCACGCGGTCTTTTTTGTTTTTCACCACATATCAGTGCACTGCAGCACTCCAGGCGGCTGCATGGGTCATGCAAATGCACCGGACATACAAATTTAATCGTTGATTTTTCACACGCACGATACGATGCATGTGTTGCAAGGCACAGGAAAGAAGGCTTCGATTCCGTGCGTGTCTAACATTATTGCAGTGAAATCAACTTTAAAAACAAAGAAAAGCGACAAGTCGTTACACCCTTAATGATGACAACGTCCACCCCCACACTCCCCCTCCCTCGCAGCCCAGCGGCTTTTTGGAGTCTCACAAATCCACGCAATCCGCCAGCCGTTGCCTCCACACTCCGGACCCTGAGGGCCTTCACACCACCATGGGGCTTGTGGTTTACACGAAGGCACCGCTGCTGCTGCTGCAGTGCGACAGCGCAAGCAACCAGCCGGTTGTTTCCCCCCCCCCCCACCACAACAGCTGCCCACCACAGAGCCACAAATCTATTGCTTTAGTAGCCGCGGGGGAGCGGTCAGAAACGACGCACATCTGCCT